GGGTAAACAGCTGAGTCCCTGGGGAGGGGACTCTGCAAGGTGAATGGGAAGTGTCACTATCTGAGAGAACGGCTTGATGGTGATGAAGCTTGGCTTCCGCAGAGAGGCCCACTGCCTGCATGCAACTCTGCAGGAGAGAGAACACCTCGGTTTTGATAGGAAAGTACTTTCATGCTGTGGCGCTGTGCATGGCGCCCTTGTGTGTGCGCGTGGTCATGTGCATGCTTGGCCCCTTGGTGGATGCAGTGCTGTTCAGGTGATTCGGATGGAAATGCATGTGTGTTTGTGTGCAGAATATACTCATGTGCAGCAGGACGCATGCACATTCGGCATACGCTGGACATGAGGCTGCATTTGATATGTGCATGGGTCTGGGGACTGAGGGCGTTTGGCTCTGCTCACGTCTCTCTCACTTTTACTCCGAGCTTCAGGGATCACTTTTTTTGCCACCCTACTCCCAGTACACCCCCTCTTTCCAGCCCCCGGGAAGGGTGTCCTGCCTTCTAAGAGTTATCACAGGTCAGGGCAGAGAGCACAGGACCCCAAGTCCAGAGAGCTGGTTTGCGGCCCCAGCTGCCATGGTCAGCCTGCTCCCTTAGAGCCACTCATTTCTGCCCTCTGAGCCTCAGTTGCTTCCTCTGTGAAATGGGGTGCTACCCAGCCAAGTCAGCCCATAGAATTTAGTTTCACATCCCTGGCCCCCAATCCCCCCTCCCCTACTCTTGCCCTTGCTCTTCCTTACCTACCGGCACACCTTGGGGTAGGCGAGGCAGGACTCGGAACTCCTCAGCTCCAAGGAGCTCCCAGGCCGCTCGGGAGAGGGCTCCCCCTTCCCCCTGTACTCCTGGCTTCTGTGGAGGCAGCTGCGAGGATTTCTGGAGCTCCTGGAGCACAGCTTGGAAACCAGGGATCCAGGCAGCCCAACGCCACTGCCTTGGTCACTCGGAGAATCCCCAGGACTCGGGGTCCAGCGTCCATGGGGTACCTGAGAAGGCGTGAGATGGCAGTGGGTCATGTGATGAGGATGCGGCGTCCTGGACAAGCGGGCAGGAGGTCAGAGCATCCGACCTGCAGTGTCTGCTTCTAGAATGGGTGTTGTCCCGGGGAGCCCAGGCTCCGCCGCCTGGAATGTCCCTGCAGCTTGTGGATCTAGAGGAGCGGGGACCTTTATGGGGCAATGGGCTCATATCCCTTCAGGGGGCTCAGTGTTCCAAACCCCCCCCCCCCATGCTGCCCCGCGGTGTTTCCAGGCCTTCCAGTGCACCCCCCCCCACAAGGCCCCTGGGGCTCCCCGGAGCCTCCCCAGTGACTTGTCCAGCGCAGCCAGTGACCAGAGATGGTCTTCTGAATAAAACTTGCCTGAGAGCTGACACAGTTTAGGCCTATGGGTCCCACTGGGTTGAGTGAAAAGTGACCCAGGGTCAGCATTTTGCTCCTCCCAAGTTTGTGGAAACAAACATATTCCACAATCGACATTCAAGGCCCACAACACTCCCCAGGTGTGGATTAGATAGGCTAACGCGCGCAAGGCTGTTACTCCCCGCCCTTTTCATGTCCTGGGAAAAAGGGAGAAGACTGCCCATGGCTGCCCAGGGGACTGAGGGACAGCACCTTTGCGCTCCTCTACCAGGTTCTGGGCTCATGAGCGTGCTGCGTGGGATGCTCACGCGCAAAGCATCTAGCAGAGAGCCTCCGGCCATGGTTCTGAACTTTGGCTGCACATTACAGTCCTCTGGGGAGCTTAAAAAAAAAATACTTTTGCTTAGGCCTCACCACAGACTAATTGTCTAATGGGCTTGGGTGGGTATATTTTTAAAGCTCCCCAGAGATCCTACAGCACCAGCGGGGGTGGGAAGCACCGGCCCAAGAGGAGTGAGTGTTCAACAAAAGTCAGCTATTTACTATCAAGACATGTCGGTGTCCGGGGTGGTGCTGTCATGCCTGCTTGGGCAAGGGAAGGGATGGGTGGGGTGGGGTGGGTGGGGGCAGGCCTCACAGGGAACTGCTCTTCAGGAGAGATGGATGCTGGGTAGAGCAGCCTGGCACCTATCTCCCTCAGCCGCGGCTCAGAAAATTGAATTAAAACCCATGGTTTTTAGCCACTGCCCGCCTGGCTGGCTGGCTGGCTGGCTGGCCGTGGAAGGGAGCTGAGGCAGTGAGCACCTCAGGGAAGGGAAAAGCTGTTGAGGAGACCCCCCAGCCTTCCTCCCTTGGGGAGAGAAGGCAATGCAAGGGGTCTTCTGGGAGAAGACCGTTCCCAAGGCTGGTCCCTCAGCCTCCGGTCTTCCTGAAGCCAGCCAGGCAGGGTGAGAATGGGCGGCTGCTTTGGAAAAAGAGGGAGGTTCTGGCCCTGACCTCAGGGAGGCCCATTCTGGGGAACGGACTGTCTCCTGCTCAAGGAGAGCCAAGGTGGTTCGGAAGGACCTCAGCCCTAGCCTGGACGGGCAGAAAACAGTCCAGGACAAGAACGCGCAGCCGGGGCTGCCAGTGTATTGGCGTAGCCCACCAGGTGGAATGGTGCTAAGGTGGGCACCGGGACACGGCCTTCAGTCCCCTCTGATAGGAAAGTTACCTGTGTGTCCTTGGGCTTGTCCTGTGGCCCCTCTTGGCTTAGGCACTTCAAGGGCAGAGAGGGGGACTAGCCAAAGCCCTGGATCCCAGATCTGATGTTCATTTCCATGTCTCCCCCAGGCCAATGCTACTAGGTGGGGCTCGGATGAGATCCATCTATGAGGACTGCTAGCCCACATAGTGCCTTGGGGAGACTAGAGGGGCGCCCCTCCAGGACTGATTAGCAAAACCACCCCTTTGGGGTGACCTCTGTGTGCCTGGCTTGGTGGGCAGTGGGCAGAGCAGCAGCTGGATTTCTGACCCCACTCACCTCTTGGCCAAGTCCCTTTGTGTGGGACGCAAATTGCACAGTGGGGCCGGGAGCCCCAACAGCCTCCTAGGTGTGGCCGGCTAGGATCTCACCCTCCGGCAGAGGCCTAGAAGCCAAGGGAGAAGGGGCGGAGGGAAGGGCTGCGAGCGAGCTTGGCTGGGCTCCTTCCCGGACCGGCTACTGCCTCGGAAGAGGGGAAGCTGTGGGAAGAGGGAGGTGTGCCCATGCCAGCCTGCTCACTGCCCACACCGTGACATACATCTGGGGACACAGAGCAGAGTGCAGGGGATCCGGATCCCATCGTGGGACCTGGAAAACTCAGAGTGTGGAAAAGGAAATAAACCTGGAACTGAATGTCAACCTCAGAGCCAAGGGGGCCGCCTCTGGGGGCCTAACCGTCGCATGTCCGGGGTGAGCTGGCCCGCAGCAGAGAGCTTTCACCTCTACCCTGCCTTGCACACCCCACCCCCAGCGAGCCTCCCTCCACGGTTCCCTCCTGACTCTGGGGCCCCTGGCAGCCCTTCCTCCCCTCCAACGGCACCTCGCAGTTTACAGAACACGTTCACATTCAGCATCTCATTTGATCTTCACAACGCCAGGGTTGTCCAAATAAAGGGAGCAGACTCCCAGGGGTAAGGGCAACAAGCCAGGTCCAGAGGGAAGTCCAGGCTGTCAGTCTGTCTGACTCTAGCGTGACACCTCGCCAGAAAGGTTTCACTCTTTTCTGATACAGACTCCTCCTCCAGGAAGCTTTCCTCGGACTGAAAGGAATGAGAGTCACGGTGACCGACAGTGTGGTGTATCAGCGGGGCCAGTGTTCCCGACACAGGAAAAGCAAACCATCGACTAGCTCTGTGGACCTGGGCCCACAGGGAGTGATGTGAATGGGGAAGGACAGAGCCTGGTTGCAGAAAGGGGAGTGCGGGTGTGGAGGGAGCTTTTGGGATGCCGAACTGTGGGGCCGCGACGTGAAACTGAGCGCGGGGAGGGCAGGTCGGGGTGGGCAGAGGGTCAATACTTTGCCTGCGAGTGGGTTCTCCATGAGAGCTGGCTCCACCACGCACTGGCTCCATGACTTTGACCTGTTTAGTTCTGCCTATTAGGCCTCAGTTTACGTATCTAAACTAGGAGATTCAGTATAATCACCATAACAGAGGCAATAGTAATTTATTCTTCAGTGAATAAGTAAAATCCGTGAAAACCTACTATGGGTTATGTCAAGATGCACGGGGAAGCCTAGGCGCAGAGAGATCAAGTCGCCGGCCCAAGCTTACCCAGCTCGCCCTGGCGCCGGGGACTGGAGGCCAGGCAGTCCAACTCTGGAGCGGTACCGTTTTTGAAGAGGCTGTAGGCTCCCCCGTAGGCCCCCACCCCTTTTCTGAACATGAGGGCATTCTCCAGGAGGTCACATTTGAAGACATCTGGGCAGGCGCTCCAAAGCGATCTGATCTTTTCAGGCCAGGGCTGTGGGGGCACAGACCCAAGGAGAGTCTAGGACTTGCCGGCTAAGGAAGGCTTCGCGGAGGAGGAAGACAGGTTCTGACAAACGCAGAATCCTGAGGATGTGGGAGGGAGACACATCAGGGCTTTCTCGCTCTGAGTGTCTTGCGGAGGGTGCAAAAGGAGGGTGGTGAGCCCCGGGGAAGGCCCGACTCTGAGCCCCGGAAGCCCAGCGACAAGGGCGAGTGGTCGCCCCCGCATGCTCGCCTCCCGGGTCCGCGCCGCAGCTCTGGCTGGTGTCCGCCTCCCAGCGCGGCGAAAGCGGCGGGCGGGGTCCCGCTCCCCCTCCTACTACGGCCCCTGGCCTAACCCCTCCCCCAGGCGCTCATTGGCCGGCACCCCAGTCCCCAGCCTGCGAAGTGCGCCGTGTTTGGGGGGTGGTGGCGGTGGTCGGTCGCCTCCCTCCCTCCCGGAGCCTGGCTTCGCGGCGGAGGCGGCGCCTCTCCTGCAGGGCAGACTCTGCTGGGCGGCCGTGGGGCGCCGCGCGCGGGCCGCGGGCGGTGACTGACAGCGGCGGCTTTAGGCGAGCGCGGTCCCCGCGTGCGCACACGCACACGCCGCTGGGCAGGGACCCACGGCCACGGGCCGCCGGCTGACACACAGACGCGGAAACCTGGGATCGGCGCGCGCTTCTCGGCGCATACGGTCCCCATTCCCAGGCGACCGGGGCGCGGACTCGCCGCCGCACGCCCTCCCTGCAGAGTCTGCCCCGGGCCGATCCGCTGCACGGAGCCCGGTGGCGAGGCCCCTCTGAGAGCAGGTAAGGGTCGCCCCACTGCCCCTGTCGCTCCACGCTTACAGCCCCAGACTCCAGAATCTTCGTCCCTCGGGGACCGTGGACCACCTCCTCCAGCTCGATAATCTCCGCAAGCCGCGTCCTCCACCGACGGAGAGGGGGCCAGGGCAGCGCAGGGCCAACCTCCCGAATCCGAAATGAAGCCCCCTCCAGTCGCTGCTCCCTTCCTGCGTGACAATCTGACACCCTCTCCCCGCAAATGTCTGGGGGCCGTGCTTAGAGGGTAGGGTCGGCTAGCTACCTCGAGCCCCTTCGGGTGTCAGAAGAGAGGACCAGGATCTGGGAGCGCACTGCGGCCAGGGAGACCCGTAGCGACCCTTAAGGACCTGCCTCTCTGCTCCCAAGCCACATGGACGCGCCTACGCGAATTGGGAAGGTGACGCTGGATGGTCCCTGGGTGCTGGATACCGCAGGCCTCAGGAGGTTCGAGGGGTGAGAAAGCGATGTGCTCAGTAGGAGGTGGGGTAGGGGCCAGCACAGAATGCCCCCTTTTGGTGACAAGGGATTGTTCAAGGAGCATCGTCTCTCCGTTCCCCGCAGCCTGGAAGGGTTGGGGTCGAGATGGTCTGGGTGGTCCTTCGAGGAAACGCCCTCCAGGGGCCTGTGGGAGAAAGGCACTTGCCTCAGAGGCCCAAGAGGGCCCACCGGAGACCCCAGCATCTGCCTTAAAGGCACAGAGTTCTGTGGCAGCTGCCGGAGGCGGGGGGCTGGGGGAGGGGGACCACATCCCTGGGTAGGGGGAGGATGTTGGACATCAGAAGGGGCCGGGACGCCAACGGCTGGAGCTACGCGTTCGGAAGGGAGTCCAGCCAGAAACTGATTGTATTTCCCATGGAGTTGAGGAGAGGAGGCTCAGCCCTGCAAGGAGCTCAGACCCCCTAGAAGAGGCTGGGGGGACTGCAGGCCCCTGCAGACCATGTGTGTGCGTCAGTTCCCTTTCTCCACCTCCCCCAGCCTCACAGTGTCCACCCAAAGCCACCCCCTCTCGACCCCACCCCCTAAAAACCAGACAAGCATTTAGCTTTTCTTGTGAACAGCCCTGTGTGTGTGGTGGTGGGGGTGGGGTGGGGGGATGACTTGGGGTGGATGTGGCTGCACAGTCTGTGGAGGGCTGCTCGCCCTGGGGCTGCCGGTGGGCCGAGGCAGGTGAGCCTCCTGAAGGCCAGGCCAGAGGCGTTGGGGGTCTGTGGGCTTCAGAAGGGGATGAAACGCTGTTTGGGCCTTGGGGGGTGGGTATCAGCAGCACCCAGATTTTCCCAGGAGGCCCTGGTCTGAGTTTGCAAAGGTGCCGGGCGCAGGTGGGGTTAGGCTGGTAGAGCCCACAGTTACAAAATGAACCCGGCCCCTGCTCCCCACTGACCTTGGGGAGCGCAAGCCAAGGCACCAGTCTGGATACAAGCCGAAATTTGGACGTATAAGTTGGAGACAGAACACGCTGGGCAGGCCCTGGCCAGATCCTCCGACCAATCCATCAACAAGTGTGCGTGGGGTGACCAGGGAGGCGGCCCACCTCCCTCCCCTGCCGCAGGCAGTTCATCTGCGGTTCTGCTTCTGGGACAAGAGCTGGGAGTCCGTTTGCCCCTGTTTATGGCTTACAGTGAGGGGAGGTGTCTGCGGGGAGTCTCTCGAAGGACCTTTTTCTGCATTCTAAGGACTACTCAGGCTCAAGGTTCCATTAAGGCCCTGTTTTGTGTAAGGTTCGGGCCGGCAGGGGGTTGATTGGAGGAAGCTTCAGAACCCATTTTTTTTCCTCCTGCAGCCACAGCTCTGCCGTGCACCTACTTTGGGATACTCTCTCAGTTTGTGTTGAATAAACAAACACGCAAAATGGGTATTTACAATCAGCACAAGCAACTCCGCTGAGGCTAGGAACGACTCCTGTCTTCCTGGGGCCTCCGGCCTCCGGCCTCCCGGGGAGGAAGATCTCATTGACCGAGGGCTGGCACTGCTTAAGAAGAGGACAGACACCTTGAGTCGTCTGCCAGAGGGCAGAGCCAAGGTGTGCCAAGCTCAGGGCCAAGGCTCGGCTCAGCTCGGTGCCAGGAAGGCCTTGCGGCCCTGGGGGCCACCCAGCAGGAAGCCGACACCTGAGTGACAGTGAGTGTCTTGTCAGGGGTGTACGGGAACCGAAGTTGGACGCCCCAGACAGGGCCACCTGGAGGGGTTTGTACTCTCGGGGGGCCTGGGAAGCCTCTGCCACCTCTGAACAGAGGAATCTGAGTCCAGGGTCTGAACGGCAGGCCCTAGTGGTCCAGCTGCCGGGCAACACGCAGACAGCTCCTCAGCTTCAGTGTGTTTGTATTGAGCCCTGGATGTCGTCAGAGGCACACGGTGACAGCCGCCCCCACAGTGACACACAAAGAGGGAGTGACACACAGCCGGGGAGGCATATAGGCTTCCTGGGATACCTGCTAGAGAGCTGGGGTCAAACGCGTGACAGCAGAAAGACAAACGGACATTGGGACACACACCCTCACACAGATCTAGGTGTATGTGGAACTCACACGTTTGTCCGGGGAAGGTCTCAAGGGTCCTCCTTACTGAAAGTCCAGGTGCACGTTGAATGGAATGCAGGGAGCACATGTGTTGTTGCACGAGACCAGGACAAGGGCTGGCAAACTTTCTGCAAAGGGCCAGGTCGTCAGTATTGGGCGTTGCTGGCTGTGAGCTGCTGCAGCTACTCAGTTCTGCTTCTGTAGCGTAAAAGCAACGACAGATGATAGGGAAACAAACAGGCATAACTGTGTTCTGATGAGCTTTATTTATGGACACTGAGATTTGGATTTCATACAATTTTCATGTGTCATGAAATAGTCTTTCAATTTTTTTCCCCCTGCCCATTTAAAAATGTAAAAACCATTCTTGGCTTGCTAGCTGTCCAAAAATAGGTGACCGGCTGGATCCCATCTGCCGGAGGGGTTTGTCAAGACCTGAGCTGTAAGATGTGAGGTGCTTTAAGAAGGGGGGAGGGCCGAGAGCTGAGATGCCGTCCCCCACTCCGCCCGGGGCTCAGCGCGCAGCTTCGACTGATGGGTCAGAGCCTGGCAGGCTCCCCGCCTGGCCCGGGAACCCCACCCCACCCCACCCCACCCCAGGCAGGCCTTTGCTCTGACCATGTGATAAATCTCCTGCTCGAAGGACACCTGGAGGCCACAGTTATGACTGAAAACAAAACAACATCATGTCACTTGAATTCATCGGAGCCTCCTTTTCCGTTCTCCCTCTGTGCCCACCTCCACCAGGAGGGAGACCACAGGGAAACCTGGCCATGCCCCTTGTTTCCAGGCGAGACTTGAAACTCACAACGAGCTGGATGAGACCTTAAACATCCCCAGCAGGAGTGAGGGGCTCCTTGTTTAGGACTGATGGTGCACAGAGGAAGGTGAGGTCAGGGGAGGTGGGTACAGCCAAGGTGGACTTCCTGGAGGTGGTGGTGGGAGTCAGGTTGGCTTTGAGAACTACCTGGATACTCTCTTTTCAGCTCCATGCATTCATTGACTAAATTGACTTAACTGTTTTCACCTTTCCTGCCTGACAAATGGGCACAGCAGAGGGTTGGCTGAGAAAAAGATAGAAAGCTCCTTTGTAGATACCTCCACATTTCCCAGCTTCTAATTTAAGGCTGCGTGGTAAGCCAGGTCCTGCCTTGGGTTTCTTTCTATCCCTTCTGTCCCTTCCTGCTTTTTTCTCAGGGGGAGGCCAGAGAGACTTCCCTCCCCTCTTTTCACATGTCTCTGGGTTCCACATGTCTTTGTCTTTCCGTTCCAGCTGCCCTACCTTCTGAATCCAGAAAACAGCCCCAGCCTGCGTTCTGCCTGCATGTTCTGCTCCCACTGAGTTCCCAGCCGTCTGAGGAATAGTCCCTAATGGGATGCTTGTCTCTTTCCTCCCTGCTTGAAACTCTCCCTGCTCCAGTCCTGACCTGGGGAACAAGCGGCCCTGGCACCTGCAGTCTTGTGCCCTCTTGTCCCCCCACCTCCTGACACCTCACTGTGCCCCTCCACACCCCTAAGTCACCTTTCCAAACCCATCCACCAGGCACTCATCAGGGGCTTTTGCACCCTGCCCCCCACACCCAGCACTGGCCGTTGAGCTGGCCCTCCCACCCCAGCCAGGCGGTGCTCAGTGAATAGCAGCAAACAGGTGCCTGCTCTGGGCTTCCTGCTCCCACCCCTTCACCCCACCCCACACACCTCCCGCTGCCGCCTTCCATCACGTCCTGTCCCGCCTTACTCTTTCCCACTCTTTTTCATTTATCTTCTGCTTCCTCATCCTCCTCTTCTCCTCTTACTCATGCCTGGTCCCTAGGGGAAGTCTCTTTGGCAGAGACCACCCACGGCTCCTCAGGATGGGAGACAGGGTGGACGGGCTTCACAGCATGACCTCCAGAAGGTCGCCGGGTTTCTCGGGAACTGAACTCTTACCTGTGAAAAGCAAAAACCCCACACAGGCGGTGCGCCGGGCCCTTCCCTGCCTGAGCCTGGCTCCCCTGTCAGATACAGGGCTTGGGTGAGGTCACGGCTGCGGTTCCTTGCAAGCACCTGGCTTCTGTCGCCTCCTAGACGTGGGACCCAGTGGCTATGCTCTGAAAGGGGAAGGTGTGAACACCAAAAAGAAGCATCAGCGTTAATGAAGATTCTGCAATTGCTAGGACGCCCCTGGCCCGGGTGTTGGGCTCTGTCCCTCCTCAGCTCTGACCCTTTGGAGGAGGGTAGAGGTTGTGGAGGTGCCCCCTTCCTCCCCAGAGGCAAGTGCAGGTCCGTGCCTTTGGTTGGGGGGGGGGGGGGTGGTTCATGTTGCAGTGTCACGCCTGGCTGCCTGTGCTGGGAGGGAGAGGAGGAACAGTGGCCTGGCCTGGACCGGTTTTATTAATAAAGGGAGTGTGCAGAGAGCAAGGGAGGCCAGTGATGCATTTCTCCTGGGTCATCCCCTCCGGGTGTCCTCGCTTGGCTCTGCCCAGTCACAGGGAGGGGTGCTGAGCAGCCAGAGCAGTCCAGGAGGAGGTGGCCCAGATGGCTCCAGCCCCATGAGGGAGGAGAGAGACCCAGGGCTGTGTGTCCCAGTGGAAAGGGAAGGGGAGATGCTGCCTTCCCACTGTGGGGACTTCCACGAGGCAAAGAGTGGCCTGGAAAGTCTCGGTGGGACGATATCAGAGCTTTCCTGGGACGTGGGGCGGGACCAGCTCCTGGAGAGGGGTGAGCGCCCCATCCGCGGAGCCAGGACATCCTCAGCTGAGGTGCTGTCAAAAGGGTCCTGCAGGGTGCAGGGGGATGGCTAGGGGGTCTCTGAGCCTCCTCCCACTGCAGGCAGAAAGTCCAGAGCCCGGTGAGTCACCGCTGGCTTCAGTGTGCGGATGAGTGATGCCGTCTTCCTGTGTGCCTGGCTAAGTGGCTCACGGGAGGACTTGGCTGCTCCTGCCAGCTCCCCCTCCTGGCTTGTCGCTGGGCCGCTGGGGCCTGAGGGGCAGGGCGGCCTTCCTGAATCTGGAGCCGGGGAGCGGACTTTGCTCCGGTCCAGGCGTCTGACACACACCCGGGCCTGCCAGGCAGGGGTCCGACGGCTCTCCACGGCGTGACCTTGGGGAGCGTCGCCCCCTCTCTAGTCCCAGTTTCCCCGCAGGTAACTCAGTGCCACAGGGAGGTGGCCTTTAAAGTCCATTCAGGTCTGAAATGCAGTGTTTATAATGACGTCTTTCTAAGGAGGGTGCTTCACATAAAGAAGTGTGGGCGGGGAAGGGGGGTGTAGCAGAAGGCCTGAGCAGTCCCCAGGTGTATGAGAGGGGTCCCTAACGGGGTACTGGTGGGTTCTGCGCCGAGCTTCCTTTCAGCAATAACAGAGGCTGGCAGGCACGTAGGGATGGAGTGCATGAGCTTTGGCACCAGGTGGCTTGGGTTCACTTCCCAGCTCTACCACATATGTGCTGCGTGACCTTAGGGAAGTTGCTTAGCCTCTCTGTGCCGCAGCCACCTCAGCTGTAGAACGAGGATGGTGCTAGTAACTACTTCATAGGTTTGGGCAGGTGAAATGAGTTAATGCATATTTATTGCTTGGAAGTGTGCCTGACACACGCTGAGTGTTTAGTAAATGTTAGTCATTAGTAAAAGTGTGGCTGGCCTGCTGTTCTCATTTTGGATGTGACCTCAGGCTATGGGACAGAGGTGACAGCAGGGTGGTCAAAAACCTGAACACAGGCAGCAAGATAATAATGAAAATAGTTAACAAACATATAGCCCTTACCGGGAACCGGGCTGGCCTGTGCACTCCGTAGTTTTACTTACATAAATTTCTCGATGCCTCACAGTAACACCTATGAGACAGGTATTACTATTATCCCCATTTTACAGATAATCATAATGAAACAGAAGAGGAAAGTGGCTTGCTTGAGTCCCTAAGGCTAAAAACTCTAGCAAAATGGTCCCCAAATCCACCACAATAAATGTCAGGAGACAGAGCGTATTGTCTTTTCGATCGGTAGCAAAATTGCTCCAGTAGAGCCTGGAACCAAGAGAGGGAGCCTGGGACGATCGGTGATGGGTCATCCTGAGACACTTGTGCGGTGGGTAGGGTTCAACCCCAGGGTGCAGGAGCCTGGCCCCGCCCTGCGAGAGGCCACTGGCGGCCTGGGGGCGTCAGGGGAGGAGGCAGCCAGGAGGAGAATTAGCAGCAGCTGCTGAGGGCAGTGGGGGCAGACCCGGGGGCTGCCATCAGGGGGCCCAAGGGAGTGCCAGGTGTGGGGCAGGGGCCTAGTGTTGTAAACTCCAAGCACTGTCCAGCAAAGGTGCCAGGAGGGGCTGCGGAGGGGACCGCTGAGGTCCCCTGCTGTGGTCAGGGAGTGGGAGGGTCAGGGCTTGGGAGCTTCCGGGGTCTCTTTCGCTGCTGTGTCTATGTCCAGTTGGGCAGGGTGGGGGGGCTGTGGGGGGGGGGTGGGTGAACAGGAGAGGACAACAGTGGGTAAGAGAACAGACCTCAGAAGTTCTCATCCCAAGGGAAAAATTTTTGTAACTGTGGTGATGGATGTGAACCAGACTGCAATCATTTTGCAATATATAGATATTGAATCGTTATGTTTTACAACGGAAACCAATGTAATGTTGTATATAAATTACATCTCACTAAAAGTGAGAGAAGGCAGTAGTGGGAATCCAGAACCCCGGGTCCAGTTCCGAAGGAGGCTGGTGTCAAGCGCCCCCCGTCCGGTCCACCCCGTGTGCCTGGGTTGGGGCCACGCCTGGCTCCTGGCTCTCACATCCTTGCCTGAGCAGCCCGGTGACAAAGCAGAGGGCTGGTCGGGCTGGGGCCTCAGCGCCGGGGTGTTTTCCGTCCAATGCAGTGGCGGCTGCGGAGCTGAGCTCCCAGAGTGTGATGAGCATCTGCCAGTGTGGCCTCCCCCCGTGAGCACGTGTGTGTGCATGTGCCCAGGTGCATGTGCCTGCGTGTGTCCCTACGCCTGCCTCTAAATCCAGGTCTCATTGCCTCTGTACAGCAGAGAGACTTTGCACAGGGAGTGTGTGTAAGTGTGTGTGTCATATATGTCCATAGTCTGAGGAACATGCCTGAATATCTGGATTGTGGCGCGATTTGGCGTCTGCCCGCATCTTTGTTCTCTGCTCTGTGAGTGTTGTGTGTTCAGGGCTGTAAAACCCAGATGCGGAATTACTGGATTGATGTGAATGCACTTTCACGATTAGTTTTAGAAGCAGACCAGACTCATCCCCCGGGAAGGTGCTGGGGCTCCCACAACCTCCTCACTCGCCCCTGCCCCATGCCCTGTCGTTCCCACGAGTGGCCTCGGTCCTGCAGGGCCTCGGAGCTCTGAGGTGGCAGCTTGCCCTTCAGCAGCCACTTTGCTCTGCATGCGCGGAGGTAAAGGCTTTATCCCCGAGGCCCAGTGGGCTGAGGCGGGGCGAAAGGGGCAACGTGTGTGAGGGGATGGCTCGGCAGCCGGAACAAAGCGGCCTTCTACGAACGAGCAAGTTAGAAGTGTGGTTCTTTCTCACGCAGCGGTCTGGAGCTGGGGGGCGGCCTGGCTCCCCGAGTCCGCCAGGCATCCTGGGTCTTTTCAGAGTCCTCCCCACCCCTCAGGTGCTATCTTTCTGCTGCCTGGTCCAAGCTGGGTCGGGTCTGGCATTTGAGAAGGACGCAAGAGCAGACGTGGCCAGCATGAGATGCCTCATGGACAGGCGGCCCCTGTCATCGCCACCCCCATTCCATGGGTGGGAACTGCATCACATGCCCTCACCTGAGAGCAAGGGGAGAAGGAAATGTCCCCTCCAAGTGGGGGCACACACAGTGACAGCAAAAACTGGTTGTGGGGCGACATTTGGGGACGCAGCCGTCTGCCACAGAGGAGAAAGCCTTCTGGGGCACCCCAGGGGTCCAGCGGGGGCACTGCCAACGTGCTCCCCTGGGCCTGGCACTGGGCAGGTGTTCAGCAGATGTTTGTGCGACAGAGCAGAGAACAGCGTGGACGAAGGCGGGAGGGGTTCCCCGGGGAGGCTCAGGGCCTTGGTAGGGGAGGAGGTCCTGGGCGAGGGCAGGCAGTCCCTGCCCGCCTCTGCCGCTGGACCTGCAAGACTGAGGCCTTTCCTTTCTCTCTAGCCCTAGCCACCTTGGGCTGACCAGCGGCCGCTCTGAGCGGGAGGCGAGCGGGGCTGGCCTGAGTCCCCTTCCGGGCTGAGAAGCGTCAAGGCCAACGTCATGCAGGCCTCCCTGGCCACCCTTCTTCTGCTGCCGATGGTAAGGACCCAGGACTGTCCCCTCCACCGCCAGCTGGAGCCCCAGGCTCCCTGGAGCCCCCACCCCAGGGGAACTTCAGCTGGCAGCTCTGCCGGCACCCCCGCTGGACCATCTAGCACCTTTGTGAGAATTAGAAAGGGTGCCCCATCCTCAAGATCCTCAGCTGACTTGAGCAGAAATTGTTACACAGTTTGGAAATCTACTACAATGGTGCCAAGCGGGGCAATCTGTAGAGCTGTGCAGGACACGTCCCCATCAGCTGTGTGGCGAGGGCCTGGCCAGGGCTGCAGCAGGCGCTGCGGATCCCGGCCCCTGCCCGCAGGTCTCTGCCAGGCTAGAGCTCAGCAGCCTGCTCTTTGCGTGTGTCCCTCCCAGAGCAAGGGCGGTGGGGAGGGTTCCCAGAATGGCCCCGGCCCTGGGAATTCAGACCAGCAGTGGGCGTACCTCTCCCGAGAGCCCTGGGTCGGAACCCTGCCTCTGCCCGGCCTTAGTGCGTGACCTCAGACAGGCCCGTCCCTCTCCCTGGAAGCCTCCGTTCTCCCCATTGGATGCCTATGATTCCTCTGATGCCAATGCCAACCGTGAATGCCCTGCAACATTTCCGACTGGCCCCAGGCAGGGGCATGGCCCCTGGCTGGGAACCAGGGTTCCTGTGTGACCTCCCTCCTCCTAACTCCCTCACTGTGCCGCTGGGACACTGAGGCCCAGAGAGGAAGGGCTGGGCTGAACACTGCCCCAGCAGCTCAGATGCCCCTGTGCTCCCTGACGTGCCCTTACGGAACCATTCCTGCCCCCGAACTGAGCGTTAGTGACAGCACCGGGACGCGGCTGTCACGAGAGCATCACGTGGACTTCGAAGTCCCTTGGTCCTGCACCTGAACCCAGTATCTGCCACTTACCAGCCTGGGACCTTGGGCAGGAGTTTCTTAACTCCTCTGAGCCTCAGATTCCTCTTTTGTGAAATGGGGCAAGAGTGAACGAGAGTGGTTCATAGGCCCACCGAGCGCTGCCACCGCTCCTCCGCCCGTGCCTTTGACGTGAGTCCCTCCTCCCGCCAGTCCCTCCTCACCCCTAAAGCGCAGTAGTTGCCTCGAGGTCTCTGGAACCAGCCTGCCTGGGTTCAAATGCTGGTCGCACAGTCTACTAAGCTGTGTAACTTTGGGCAATGTACTTAACATCTCTGGGCTTAAGTTGCACACCTATAAAATGAGACAAGGTAAAAAGAGTATAGGATTGTATACTGCATGTGTGTAGTAAAGTACTATATGTGTGTTTGCTATGATTTTTATAAGATATGGAAACTGAGGCCCAGGGATGGGGTGGGGTCCCCCCACGGCCACATTGAGTTGGTATAAAAGAGCCCTCAGGGTGTTTGTGACAGCTTGGCTGTGAGGGCCCCTGCCGGTCCTGAGTCTCTGTCACTGTCCTCTCCCTGCTCTGCCTCTGCCCCCGCCCCCTGCACTGCCCACAGGGCTTAGGGAGCCGTGCTTCTGGACAAGCCTCCCTGCTCCCTCCCACCACCCATCCCACGTGTCCCCTGTCCCCTGCAGACCACCGCCATGCACTTCAACTGCATATTGAAGGAGGAGAAAGCCATGTGTCTGGAGAAGATCCAGAGGGCGAAGGAACTGATGGGCTTGAACGACTCCTCCCCAGGTGAGCAGGGTGGCGGGGAGGACCGTGTCCTCGCACATTGGGCCAGCCTTTAGAACCGATGTTTCAGCCTCTGGCCCTCTCATAAAGAAAGATGGAGGGCCCGGGTCTTGGGACCTTCAGAAAGCCCTTGCCGGGGGGTGGGAGGGATGTGGAGTCCTGGATCCGCCCCGGGTTGCTGTCCTTGGGGACGGGCCTGACCTGCATGCCTCACTCAGGGAGGGGCTGCTCTGGGTGGCCAGATGTGGCCACCTTTGTCCCCAGGGCAGCTGGGACGGAGCTGGCACCCAGGCTGGGCTGTGGCTGTCAGAGAGCTCGTTAGCAAGCGGCCCGGGCCTGGTGGCAGCAGGGACACAGCTGTTGCCGGTGCGGTGCCCGGGCTGGCAGCACCTGGCTTCCAAGGCCGGAGGTGCGGGCCCCTCCCCACCCCCTCTGCTCACTCCGTCGGAAGCCCAAGAACGAGGCAGCAGCAGGCACCCAGTCCTCAGCCTGTCTAGCAGCACTTCTCTGGGGGCCACTGGGGGCCCGGGACGGGGTCCTGCCTCCTCTGTGGGAGCGGAACCGCAGGCCATTTAGCAGCCGCGCTTCTCCCCATTGGATGCCTGTGACTCCCCTGATTCGATGCCAGCCGTGAACGCCTCGCAGCCGTGAACGCCTCGACTGCCTCATGACATTTCCGAATGGCCCCAGGCAGGGGCCTGGCCCCTGGCTGGGAACCAGGGGTCCTGTGTAACCCCCTCCTCCTAACTCCCTCACTGTGCCGATGGAACGCTGAGGCCCCAAGAGAAAGGACACCTCGTCTTTCCAACTCCCTGCGGCACCAGGGAGAGGGGCTGCGTGGGGAGCGGAGGGGGTGGGGGCAGCCCCGGGGCCTCGCCAGCCTCATTTACACCTCAGTCACTGTGGGTGGGGCGCTCTGCCCAGACTAGAGGATCCACCCTTCCCTCCAGATCCTCCCCGTTCACAGGGAGCTCTTCTGAGCACCATCTGTTTAAATACTCGATTAATCTGCAGCCCAGTTATGTGTAACGGTCCCTCCAGGCCCCGCTCCCCGGCCAGTCAGTGAACATTAACTGGTAACGGAGCCACCACCGGCCCTGCCGGCCTTGCCCTCCTGCCGAGCTCTGGCTCAGCCCTAACGGAGGCTGAACGTGGATTCTTGGCCACCCCAGCCAGGGAAACCGAGGCAGGGGGCCCAAATCTGGTCCGAGGCACTGGTCTAGGGGATGGGAAAGTGGGACCCTGGGGTGGACCTGGAATCCAGGTGCCCTGCCTCCCAGCCCAGGGCCATCGTTCCTGCATTGCAGGTGTCAGGTGCATTGGGGGTTGGGCAGTGAGAAGCTTCCGGAAGGAAAGGGGAGAGGCAGAGGTGGGGTTATTGCACAGGTGTTTGTGGAGCCTCGGGCTGGAAGAGGACAAGGAGGGTGGCCCAGACGGCTGTCCTGGCAGACGCTTGCTCACGTGAGACAGAGGTGACCCCGGGAGGGGAATCCAACCCCAGGTGTACTCAGAACAGGGGAGAAAGGAATTCTGGGAGGCTTCGAGGAGAAGGTGGTATTGAAACGCAATGCTTGGTTCTCAACCCCTTGCTGCACATCAGAAGTGCCAGAAAAATGGGTACAGTCCAAACCGATTAAAGCGGAACCTCAGCTGGCCATAGTCACTGTGGGTGGTAAAGGCTCCCGAGGCGGTTCTGATGTGAAGCTGGGCTGAGAACTCTGAGCGAGGCCCTGGGGGAGAGCAGGCCATTGACGGCAGGTGAGAGCTGAGGGACGGACGAACGAACGAACCAGAAGAACATCCCTGGCTGGGGGGCTGGGGGCTGGGGGGCTGGGGGTGTAACTCCTGGGTTCTGGGATCCTTTGTTGGAGCAGAGGCGGGTGGGCCAGAGAGCAGGTGTCTGGAGGTTCCAGCTCCATCTCCACTAGACTTGGAGGCAGGAGGGGACAGCAGTGGGTGGCTTGCACTGGGCTGGCATCCCTGCAGTGTCCCCTAGGACCCCATCTGGCCCTTGTCGAGCCCCGCCTCAGGGGCCTGAGTCAGGGCCTACCGTAGGTCACCCCCAAACCTGAACTTGGGGGAGGGACACCAAGCCTGTGGGAGAAATTCCCTCACTTACTTTCCCCCTCACCCTCTAACGCATTTAACTCCCCTGATGAGCTGGAGTCTTCAGGTGCCTGGGTGCCCCACCCATATTGCCACTTGGTCACAACAGGTGGATCTGATTTTTTATCCCAAAGGGAAGATAGGAGCCGAGTTCGTGACAAGCTGGAATCTTTGGGTGTCTGGCCTGGGTCGGGTGAGGGCAAGGCCAGGGGAAGGGGACTACAGAGAGGTTTGCGCTCTGGTAGCCCTCGCTGCAGTTCAGGGATGAGTGTCAGTGGGGACAGGTGCGGCTGGTGCTGGGAATTCAGTGGAGGGAGAAAGACCTCCCTGCTGGACGGAGTGAGTGTAGGTGGTGGATCCAAGAGGGCTTCAGGGAGGAAGCGGCATTCAAGCCGGGCATGGAAGAAGGCAGGGCACGAAGGAGTCTCCTGGAGGCAAGGGGCTATCCCTCCTCTAGCCCTGAGGCCCAGGGAGGACAGGAGGCCACACCCGCCCACAGTCTACCTGAGGAGAGGTTTCCCCGCCTCTCCCTTTGAGTCACAGGATGAACAGAGCTGAGACCTAATTCAGCATCATCAAAAAATACAGCCGTCAGGTGGAAAAGAAGACTGTGGGCCCAGCTGGACCACCACCTCTGTGGCTCTTTCTTACTATGTGCCCCAGAACCTCTGCTGTTAAAATGAGAAGGTGGAATGGGTCATGTTAATAACACAGACTTACATAGGTTAACCCTCTACCAGGCCCTGTACTAGTGCTTTTTCTCCTACTGCAGCCACCTAGTGGGTAGGTTTTATTATGACCCCTTTTACATGTGAGGAAACTGAGGCACAGGGAGGTTTTGTGCTTTGTTTAAAGACAGTCCCGTAAGAGGCAGAGGTGGAACTTGTATTCAGGTCACCTGTGCTCTCACCCCTGGGGATGCTGTGCCTCAGAGGATGGTGCACTCTGAGCCCCAAGTGCAGTTTGGAACAGTCTGGAAGGGCTCCCTGGAAGAGCTGAGGAGGGTTGGGGACCAGGCCTGGGCGTCAGAGGGCAGGCGGAGAGGAAGGGGAAGGCGGGAGAGAAACATCCAGTGGAGGACGACGATGTAACCGAAGGTAGAAAAGGAGCCGTGAGTGTGGAGGGCTGGGCTTGTGACAGCTGGCACTTAACTAGCGGGACCGGGTCCCAAATCCTTGCGCACACAGTGGCACGGTGTAGGCGCAGCTCAGGTAAACGTCAGCACCCTGTGGGCTGGGTCGTCATCCCTGCCGTTTGCAGATGAGGCTGCGCAGACTCGCAGAGGGTTGGGTTGCCAGCCCATCACCCAGGAAGTCACACAGCCAGGAAGGACGGGGCCAGGGGGTGCATTCGGCGGTTCCCGAGTTCTGGCCCTTGGCCACCACTGCTCTGGGCTCAGGAGAGGGGTGAGGAGACACCGCCACCCCCTGCTCCCCCTGCGGCAGTGAAAGGGCCTGCGGCAGAGGACGTGGAAATCAGGCTGGGGGGCGGCCGTCCCAGGGCCCCCGAGGCCTGCACTGTCCTTGGCCGTGGAAAAGCTGGAGAGCGTCTGTGCTTCTCGGGGCCGGGGGAGCGTGAGGCCCCAGCTCCGGGGTCCTGCCTGGCTGGGCAGCCCGGGCCCTAGCTCAAGCGCAGCCGAAGGAGAAGGGCGGGGCGAGGGAAGGCCTAGGAGTGTCCAGCTCAGCTCACTTCAGGCCTGTGGTCTGCGGGGGCTTTTCCCTGCGAGCTGAGGCTGGAGGAGCCCCTTCTCAAGGGGCCTTCAGAGCAGGTGGCCCCTGGGCACCTTTCCAGGGTCCGTGTTCTGGGACGGGGTGGACCATGCTGTCCGCTGCCAGGGGATGGTGTGCGAGGCCCCAAGAGAAGCCTCGACCGGGCCCTTGGGGGCGCTCTTGGCTTCGGAGGAAACGTGCTCATGCCGTGGGGGTAGCAGCAGCAGGCCGTCTGTGGGGCTGTGCGGTGTGTTAGACCTGAGAGCGCTGAAGGTGCCCCCCCTCCAGACAACCATGACCAGCACTGGGGCGGGGGCTTGCTGAGGGCCTGCATTAAAAGCCTCCTGGCTACTGAAATGTATCCAAGTTCAAGAAGCACTGGTTTGGCCAGAGAAGAGCCTCCACCAGGGTGCTCGGGTCACCTTGGGCCGGAGGACAGCCCCCGGGGCACCGGTAAGCCAGGCCGGGAGCCAAGAGTCAAGTTCGAGTGTAACCGAGAATCAGCAGTTGTGCGTTATGTTATTAATCTGTGCTTAGATGGAGCAAGAGAGGCCAGCCCTCCTTCTGTCCTCCTTCTCTGTGCCTCTCCTGTCCCTTCTGTCCCCAAGCACACACACTGTGCACAGGACACTGGCCCCGGGCCAGCCAATGTCCCTGAAACACCCTTGAAAATAAAAAAAGAAAATCTGTCAGTTTGTTCCAGTGACTGTGAGGCATACACATACACACACACACACACACACACACACACACACACACACACATTTCTTTTAAACACAATAAAGTGAGTTCACTGGAATGAGGACACTGATCTGACAGGGCTGAGGTGTGTGGCACAGGGTGGGGTTGGGAGGTTCCCAGGAAGGCGCCTGTGCCCCTTCAATCCCTGTCCCTCACTGGTCCCAGGACCTCCACCTCTTAGAGAACATTGGGTAGGAATGTGGATAGTGGCCTTCAGAGTGGCAGCCAAGGGACAGTGTCGTGCTGGGGATGGCATGGGAGCTGAGCAGGCTGGTGCAGGAGGGGAAACCCTCGGCGAGTTGGGGGACAGCAGGAGCAAGCTCTCTGACCGGCGCGTCTGTCCGCCGCATCCTTGGCACGTTTTAAAGATGTTTGTTGGGACCGTTATTAAGGTGTTGTATTTCGTGGTTTTGTCCCTCATTTTCAAACCCCTGAATGCTAAATGGGACTCGAGTCAACACTGGTCCAGCTCTGTCATGTGACGCACGGAGAGGCTGGGACCAGAGGGCCCGGCCAGCTCTGGGACAGGCCCCAGGTCCCCGGCCTCGGCTCTGCTGCTGTGCCAGAGGGAAGGAAAAAAGCTCCCATGCGTGGGAACCTGGGTCTCCTCTCCTGAGCATCCCAGACCGACGCAGGTCACAGGCCCTGCCTGCCGGGCGGGCCGCTTCGTCCCCCGGCCTGCGCGCCCTCCATGAGCCCAGCCGGCACCTCCTCCGGGCCTGCGGGCTTCCGTCAGGCTGGACGCAGGCTGTCCCTGCAGTGAAGCAGGGCTGCTCAGGTGTGGTAGGCCCTGGGGGTCCCCAGACTCTGGAGAAGATGGGCGACGGAGGCCTGTAGCCGCCTTGGCAGGGCAGAGGAGGGAGGCTCACAGGGAGGAAGAGAAAGCCTGCTCATTGCTAGTCTGAACTGGCCTTGGAGGCCAGTCCAGGGCGCCCAGTGCCTGGTCCCAGTATCCACCTGCACCCTCGCCCGAAGAGGAGGGGCTGGCGGAGGGAGCCCCTGCAGGGCTGGGCCCAGGCTTCTCGTCCTTGGAGCAAGAGCAGCTTCTCACCTGCACCCCCCAGCCGCTCTGAGGCTAAGCAGGCACCCGGCGGGGGCGGGGGGCGGAGGACCCTCACTCCCCAAATCGGACTGCAGCCTGCGCCAGAATCACCTGGGAGGCTTGTGGGCTGGGCCTGGCCCCAGAGTTTCTGACGCATTAGGCCTGGGCATCTGCATTCCTGGCAAGTCCCAGTGGTGCCCCCGGTCTGCGGGCCACACTTCGAGAACCGCCGACCTCGAGGGGAGGGCTGCACCCTGAGTCCTCCGCCCGCCCCCCACAGGGCGCTCACGGCTCGCCCACACTTCACTAGGCAGAAACACTGACTGTAAATTAACTTCCAGTAAACCAAAATGATTTTTTGCCCTTGAACGGTAGGGTAAACTGAGGGGCTTGTTCTGACAATGCCCAAGCATCCTTGGGCGGCTTCTCAAAGGGATGACTGCGCCCTTGTCTGAGTCCCTTTGGTGCCTCTGGCCTCACAGGTTTTGAACACAATGTGGAACTGGACAGAATTGTCACCATGACAACCTGAGATTAGCGCCTTATTTTGTTCCAGTCGAGGCTAATGGCTCTGTGTCCTCTCTGTTCTGCCTGCCCAAGTGGTCTTTTCTCCCGCTTTTTTGTTACAAGGCTCGGCCTCTCCTGCGGCTTTGTGTAGATGTCTTAGTGGGAGTCGCCCACCAAGCAGCCATTCCGCACCCCCCACCGGACTCTGCTGACCAACTTGCACAGAGGCTTTGTGGGGTGCAGGGGAAGGGGACAGGCAGAGCCAGGAGGGCCCAGGCAGGCTCAGTGTGGAACTGGGCTACAACCCAAGAGGTGAACAGGGAGGCTTGGGGTGTCCGAGCAGGGAATTCTTCCAGGCACTGGGAGCCTTTCTGATTCCTGACCTTCCTCTGCAGGGGCGAGAAGGAGAGGGGAACTTCCACAGCCTCCCTACAGTGTCTGACGCACTTGCCCGCGTCCCCCTTGAAGCCCGCATTCTTGGCTACTGTGTCACTAACCTCTCCCGGTTTTCCTTGTGTTTCTGGCCACGCCTCCTCCGTCTTCTTGGCCAACTCCTCTTCTGGCACTGGCGTTCCTCCTCCTGCCGGGGCCAGACCCCGCTCTCCCTCCTCACATCTGTGCCTTCTCACGACACACTTCGTCCAGTTCCGCGGCCCTACCTAGCATCCCTGCACCGACCTCTCCCTGTCCTTTCCCTGGTTCTGACTTCGCCTCTGGACTCCAGGCCGCTATCTAACTGCCTGTTTGAAATCATGGCAGGTGCTCCCTGGGGGATGTTTGTCCTGGCAGTGGGGCTGGGAAGGCCGCCCCAGCCCCCTGCCATCTTTCTGGGCAGCGGCAGGTCCCAAGTGAATCTCTGTTCCTGATGTGAGCTCCAGTCGCTCAGGCTTGGGGTCCCCTCGGAGACACTCAGCTTTCAGTGTGCACACAGGGAAACTGAGTCAGGGTTCCGGGGGTAGGGACTTGCCAGAGTCATGCAGTGAGCCCTTGGCAGAAGCAGACAAAACTCCAGGCTCGTGGCTGCCGTGCGGGAGCTGGGAGGACACCGTGCCCCTGCCTTCTCTCCCTTGCCCTCAAAGGCAAACTCTCAAATGTGTTCTCTCCACCCCTGTAGCCCTGGGCCAATGGGCGTGGCGGGGGCTCAGAGAATCCTGTTGAGAGAATGACTCCCCCGCCCCGCCTCCACCCTGGGAGCCCCCTCTTCCTTGTATCGTCTGGCCTGCGCCCTGCGCCCTGCACCCCTCCCTGCTGCTCAGTCCTTGTGGCTGCTCACCTCCATCGAAAGTGCCCCGGGACCTCGGGGACAGCAGCTGGCAGTAGCGGTGGGCTGTTCCAGGGCTCGGTGTTCCACGATAAGGGAACATCTGTCAGGGGGGCTCCTGGGACGTGGGCCAGACGTGCCTGCACTCCACGGCTGTTCCACGGTCAGCATGGGCCATGGCAGCCGCCGATGTGCTGCCAGGTCCCTTTCAAGGACCTGATGTCACAACCAGGCATGTGCTGGCTAGAGTCCTGGTGGGGTGGGTGGGCAGGAACCATCAATAACTGGCCTGTTGTCAGGAGACCCGGGACACGGCTCCTGTGGTCTCATGTGACCCCCAGTGTCCTTGCCTTCTTGGTTTGTTATTCTCAGAGCTCTCGATGGCATTTCGGGCTCCCAAACTCGGTCGCTCCAGGAAGAGGACGCTGTAGGCTACTGTGACTGGGTGTGAATTGCAAAATAGCCAGGTCCCAACCCTGAGAGGCAGGCCACTCCTGGTCCACACGGCGCCCACAAGCCGGTTGGCCACAGACCCCACGGAGAGGCCGGGAGCTCAGGAGGCCTGCCCCGGCCCCTCCCTGCCTGGTGCCTGCCCAGGCTCCCTCCGTGGCCCGTAGGCAGACCTCCACTGGCCTTTCTGCTCATCTCGCAGGGCTCGGTCCACCTCCCCGCCTGGGCCTCTCTCAGGGTAACGATTTCCAGGGACACCTAGTTGACATCATGAAATTAATGATAATAGCAGCAGGGGGTGTGCATCGAGTGAGCTTGGCACTTGCTGGGCACGTTACAGGTATGAGCTCATTACTCCTCACAGCAGCCCCGGGAGGTGGGGCGCTGTCTGTCACCCGCTGGCTGTCACGCTGCAGCAGAGCGGCCCCCTCCGCAGCCCGTGTTCATAGACCCCTCAGCAGCGTGTACACCCTGTCCTGACACTCGGAGCTCTGCCACCTGTCACTTCCCCCGCCTCCTCCTTTGCTTCCCTCACGATCGCCTCACTGTGTGCACCTCCTCTGCCCACCTGAAAACTGGTGGGCCCCCTCTTCCTTGTGCCGTCTGGTCTGCGCCCTGCACCCCTCTCTGCTGCTCAGTCCTTGTGGCTGCTCACCTCCATCAAAAGTGCCCCAGGACCTCGGGGACAGCAGCTGGCAGTAGCAGTTGGTTGTTCCAGGGCTCGATGTTCCACGTTAAGGGAACATCTGTCAGGTGGGCTCCCTTACAGATGTTCCGTCCCATTCCATTGCCTCCCCCACGGCCATGGTGCCGGGCCTCAGGGACCACGTTAGGGAACTGAGGTGACAAGGCCACTGAGAGGTGCTCTTGGCCAGGGCCTGGCTTACATGGCTCTCTTCCCACAGGCTGCCCGGGGATATGGGACAACATCACGTGTTGGAAGCCCGCCCAGGTGGGCGAGATGGTCTTCATCACCTGCCCCAAATTCTTCCAGATCATCGATCCAGACCAAGGTGGGTTCCTCGGGGCCACTTCAGGCCACACTCAGTCCAGTCCACTCCCCACGCGTGGGCCCCAGGCCTTCCTGGGACACAACCACCAGGGACATCGGGCAGGCAGGGAGGTGACCCCTGCTCTGGAGTTCACATGTGGGGGCAGGGACCACAGACCTCCTGCTCCCAGGAACACGGAGGCTTCTCTCAGACGTGGTGCCCAGGTTCCCATGGGGCTACATCGTCGTGGGTGGGGCAAGGCTGGGGCCTTACCCATCACTACCCCAGCTGACCCTGAGCAAGACATTCACTCCTCTCTCCTCTGTTCCCTAGTCTGTCAAACAGGAATGTGGTGTGGCCGCTGGGGACTTGTGCGACACAGATAGTCATTTAACATGGGGATGGGCACATTTGGGTGTTCAGTGGTAACTGTTCGCTGACGTTATTGATGTCACTCGCATGGAGATGCTCAGAGGCCCAGGGAGACACACAGATGTGGACACATGTGAGACGCCCTTGGGCAGCAAGACACGAGGCGCTCGCCCATTCCCACGCCTCCCGGTGCCCAGGATGCTTGTGTGTATTAAGCAGAGTGTGTTCTTGGTCCTCGCTGTCCTCCGGAAGCTCTGGAGGCTTAGGAGAGGGGGAGCGGGGGTCCTGTTCCCCGGGAGTTTCCAGGCTGCGCGTTGCACACGGGGCTGTGTGACTTACAGATGCTGGCCTGGGTGACCGTTGTATGATGGCACCCTCCCCACGAGGAAAGGCTGGGGGGCACAGGCTGTGGAGAGCTCAGTTTGGGCTGTGGGGATCCTCAGGTGGGCAGCGGGTGGGCTTTGTGACTCAGGGTGGACAGTGTGGGGAGAAGGCAGTGCTCCGCCCACGGGCACGAGGCCCCCACACCTGCGTCTCCCCTGTGGGTGTGAGCCTGGTGCACCCTCCAGGCCTATTCCCACCTTCAGCTGAGGCTTTGGGGACTCCCCAAGACGGTCGGTGTCTGGCCAGACCTTTGGGACCCAGGAAACAGCCCAGAGCCAGTCCCTGGCCCTCCGCTGCCCCCCTGTGGGCGTCAGGAGAAGTGGGGCAGCAAGCCAAGGGCACCGAGTTAGGGAGCTGGGCTGCAGGCAGGCAGTGGACTGAGAGCCACCCCTTGACTGCTGAGCCCTGGGCGGGGGCCTTGGTGGCAGGAGGAGTCTGAGTCATGTGTGGCCATCCACCGGTCCTCCGGGGCCTGGACCTCAGCTTCCTCCTTCACCTGAGGCTTCGGCTGATGTCCTTCTAGAAGAGGCGAGTTTTCAAACTCCACTCTGCTGCGGAGTCCTGCCGGCCGCCGTCCCCTGTCCTGTCGGTGAGAGACAGAGGCAAATTCTGTTTTATACCTGGCATTCCCCCAGCCTGACTCTGCCTGGAGTGGTGGGCGCTTGCAAGGGGCATAGCAGCGGGAGATAGCGACGGTGTGTTGGGGTGCCAGGCCCGTGTCTCAGGCATCCGTCCCAAGACCAGAGAAGGCAGGGTATGGCTCCAGAGCCCCCGGACTTCACCTCCCCACTGTGCGCAACACCTCCCACCTCCAAACCCCCTGCCAGCAGCCAGACTCCCCCATCCTGACAACGAGGGGGCTGGGCTCGACCACGTCCTGTCTAGAACAGGAGAGGAAGTGAGCTCTGAAAGAGGGGACACAGGAGGGAAGTGCAGTGTGAGTGGGGGGACGTGAGGCATGTGGCTGCCCTGCGATGCAGCCCGGTCTCCAACTCATTTCGGTAGAAGCCAAGTTAGTCACCTCTTCCATTCACAGACGCCTTTCATTCATTCATTCATCAACTTAAAGTTGATTGAACATCTACTCTGGGTCAGGTACCATGGCAAGACTGCTTCTCTTCAACAACAAACAGCAACAAAAAGGCACAATGAATCAGCAGTAAAATAAGACTTTCTTAAGATAAACTTCCCTTCCGGCTCTAGCCCTCCCTCTGGCACTCGGGCAGTGAATGTGCCCTTTGTGCCTGATGCCTGGCCGCTCACTACACAGGGCCTTCCAGCATCTGTTTGCAAAGCTGAACTCGTGAGACACGCCTTAAATACTTAGAGAGCCCGGAATGGCGTTGCTCGCTGCACCTCCACGTTCCCAGGGCTGGACCTGGCGCTCACTGTGGTAGCTGCTGCTTTGCAGGCTGGGGAGGTGCGAAGCGCTCTCCTCCTCGCAGACACCTGGGCTCACGTCTCTGTAACTGTGTCCTGTCCTAGAGGGAGGGGTAGGAGTCTTCAGTGCTTGCCTGATCCCCAGCTTATAGTCCCCGTGGCTCAGGACCCCCAGCAGAAACTCCCTACAGAGTTTGGGGATGGGGCAGGAGAGGGGGAGGGGCAGCAGGGCCCCCTGAGGGCAGACCCCACTTCAGCCCTTGCTCACCTCTGCGTGCTCTCTCTCTCTTTCAGTCTGGGAGACCGAAACCATAGGTAAGAGGAACCCTGGAGACAGCAGACTGCTGATCATCTGTCCATCTCTCCATCCAGCAGAAGCCCAGCTCTGACTGTTGGGATGGGTGGGGGCAGAACAAAAGGCTTATCAGGGACCAGGGTATCCCCTCCTCCCTCTCCCTCCTTCCCACAAGGCTATCCTAGATGGAGGCGCACAGGAAGATGGAAGGCGCAGCCTGTGACCTCAGGGTGCTCATGGGTTTGTTTGGGAGGACAAGGCTCAGCCATGGAGGGGTTAGAAAACAAGCCCACCACAGGGCCTGAATGCGTGCGTGAGCCCACACAGACACCAACATCCCCAACAAATGAGACCTAAGGATGCAGCATGCAGGCAGAGTAATGTAAAAGTCCATGGAGGCTTCCTGGAGGAGGTGGCGTGTCAGCTAGACCTTGGAAGCAAGATTAGAGGAAGTAGAGGGGAAATGGAGGTTCATTGCTCATAGAGGAGTCAGCCTGAGTGGAGATGGGAATAAAGAGTCAGGAGAGAAAGAGAGAAAGGTCTGAGGATAAAGTCTTTGGAGTCCTGGGTTCCTTTTGATGGGAGCAGTTTGGAGGGGTGAGCACCAAAGAGGAAACCGAAAGCCCAGGACTTGGGTGGCTGTTCTTCGCCTTGTCCTTGAAAAGGCCCAGTCATCCTTTTACATTCCTCTCCCACTCTGGGGGAGGCCTTCTCATCATCCGGATCATGTCCCACTTCCACTTCCTGTGGTCCGGGGAGAGAACTGAGTCATCGGCATCATTAGCATCACAGAAATACAGAGCAAGTGAGGTTAACGTTAGAATGTGCAGTGTGTCAGAAAGGTGTGTGGCTGCCGTTGCTAGGCCCCCTCTTGGCTGAGACCCCACCCCTTGCCCTCCTGATTAGGGGCAGCCTCGGCCTTCCAGCATGGAGAGCTAGCTGTGTTCAGCCCTGCCAAGCTGGTGGCTGGCCGTTCTGACTCATGCCCTTGTCTCTGTTTTGCAGGAGAGTTTGGTTTTGCAGACATTAACTCCTTGAATCTCTCAGGTAAGTGGGGGTCAGCCGTGGGCTGGCTGGAGTAGGAGGGTGTCACCTGCTGACATGTGAGCCTGGGCTATGCCTCTCTGTGGCTGTGTGGCTTTAGCAGGTCCGTTTCTGTCTCTGATGCAGCTGTGGATCTTCTCTGTGGAAACTGGCACTCAAAGTGTGCAGACGATGTCAGGGGTGCACAGATATCTCCAAGCCCCGCCGTGGGTTAGGCAGCCCCTGATAGCTTTGAACTCCCAAGTGTGGAATGGTGGTTCTCGTACTTGAATTGTGGTCACTCGATCCCCCAGCGGGCTTGTTAAAACTCAGATTCCTGGGCTCCCCACCCAGAGTCTCTGAGCAGGCCTGGGGGGGGGCCTGAGAACATGCATTTCCAGCCAGTCTCCCGGCAGATGCTGATGGGCTGGTCTGGGGAGGCGCCCGCTTTGGGGACCCTGCCCCGCCAGCCTGTGCTCCTGGGAGGGTGCCGGGGAGAAGGAGCCTGGTGAAGTCACCAGGCACAGTCACTGCGGGGCCCGACAGTCTGGAGGGGACAAGAGCAACGGTGTGGCCAATTCACGGCCGAGTTCTGAGCAAAGAGGCTTCTACTTCTCTCAGCTCACGTTGTATTATAAAAAGAAAAAGAGAAAGAGAATAAAAGAAAGGGAATGCAGGGGACTTCCTAGGGGACTTCCAAAAAATTGTTCTCTGAAGCAGCTCCCCTTGCCTCTTCCCACCGCCCTGATGTGGGCAAAGCGAAGAGGACATGAGGAGAAGAGGGGACGGCAGGGCCAAGGCCGTGGTCCCCTGGGATGCGTGGGCTCTCTGAAGGAAGTGTTCACAGGGGCTTGGACGGAGCTTGCCGGTAGCAGCCTGAGACAGATTTGCTGGAAGCAGGACCAGCTGGCACGGGAGTGTGAGACAGAAGTGACTCCCGCTGTCCCTGGGCCTGCCAGGCGTCCTCCTGGTCCTGCGTCCTAGGGCTCCGAATCCCAGCCCCCACCCCCAGCTCCCCCAGCTCTGGGCAGAGCTGTGTTTATGGCAGGGCCACCGTCCCCTCTGCTGCTCCCTGAAGCCCAGAATGTGCATTTCTGCCTCTGTTGCCTAAAAAGACTGACTGTAGAACTTCCAACTCAGCCGGCAGGGACATGAGGTGGGCAAAGTGGGGGGTGGGGTCTCCTGACTTGGCCTTGCCCTTGGCCCCTTGCAGAGCGCCCCAGAGGTGGCCTCAGCTGCAGAAGGGGTGCTCCTCCAGCAGCATGTGTGTGGGAGCCCCTTCTCTGCAGGTGACTTTAGTTGTTCACAAAATCCTGCAACAGGAAGACCCATCCCCTGTATCCTAGTCCACCGAGTGAGCCCCCAGGGAGCCGGTCTGCGGGTAGAGGTCGGCCTGGGGCTACCTTCAGGGGCCGGGCCGGAGGCCCAGGAGGCTGCTTGCCTTCTCCGCAGGCCTGGACCTCCGTGGGTCACCCTTACAGACATCAGGAGAGTTGTTCAAAGCTGGAACAGCCCCAGGCCAGGTACTCGTTGGCCTGGCCACACTGTGCTGCCAGCCAGCGACTCCTGCCCCCTCCAAGGTCCCCCAACATGGCCCTTAAAGGGGATCAAAAGAAAACTAAAGTACATTAGTGTCAGGAAACAGACAGACCTCCAAGCCTGGGAAGGCGGAAGTTCTTTAAAAAAAAAACAAAAACACAAAACCTGAGTGTGTATCCTAGTAAGACCTTGTGCTAGGTTCATGAAGGTCTGGTTCTTGCTAATTAAGCAAGCCGCAGCTGCTGGCCAGCCCGGAGCTCCCAGTGAAGGTGTCGCCCAGGGTGTGAATGGGACTCCTGCCCCACGGTCGGTAGTCTGAGGTGTTTCTGGAGCAGAATCCCTGGCGGGGGGGGTGGAGCGGGGAAGGGGGCCCAGAGGGTGTGCTCACTGACGTTGGGTAAGTGCTGACCCAGGGCCCAGGAGAAGGGCTCAGGCCTGTCCTGGGCGAGCCTTGGCCAGTTCCAAAAGGGAGGGAGGCTGGATTCAGCCCGGCCCGGTCCCCTGGCCTCCTGTTCAGAGATCAGCTTGCACCTGTCCCCACCCCACGTCCTTCGTAAAGGCTGAGCTTGAGGTCCTCAGCGATCACTGGTTTCCCTGCGACAGTGGAGGGGTTGGTGAACCTTGAGTGGCCACGTTTCCCAGAGGGGTGTACAGGCCTCCAGGAATCCCCACCAACGAAGTAACTTTGGAAGGAGAATTTCAGGGACCTCTTAAATCATTTTTGTGCCTCTGGGTCCCCCTTCTGCTGCAGGCTTGAGGGTGATAGGCCGGAACTGCACTGAGGATGGCTGGTCGGAGACCTTCCCTCATTATTTTGATGCTTGTGGCTTTGGTGAGGGATATAATGAGACGGGGGACCAGGTGAGTGTCTGCCCCCGCCTGCGGGCAGTGGAGGTGGGGCTAAGAGGCAGGTGGAAGGCTGTCCCCACCAGAGCCTTGACTCCTGATGGGACTACAGGAATCTCAGGTCCCTAGGCAGCATTTATGAGAGTCCCCTGTGTCCCCAAGCCAGGTGCGCGGAGGGCAGGACTTGCGTTCACTCGTTCTGGGCTGAGAAGCAGCTGGTGTGCTGCCTGAGCTCCTTCAGCCCCCACCACGCGTCCCCTGCCCCGCTGGCTGCTCCTCCAGGACCCCAGCCCTCCTGGCCTGGCAACTGGCAGGTGCCTGCTGGGCCCGGCAGGACTCCGCCTGGACCCTTTGCCAGGCTGAGGCAGGTGACAGGGTTAGTTAGTGCTCCGGCCGTCAGCAGGCACCTACTGGGCCCCTGAGGAGGGCAGACACCGTACAGCAGGGAGGAGGCGGTGGGCGCAGAGGTGGGCAGGCCCCACGTGGAGCCCCGCCTGTCCTGTCCCCCACTCCAGGATTCTTACTACCTGTCGGTGAAGGCCCTGTACACGGCCGGCTACAGCACGTCCCTCGTGTCCCTCACCACTGCCATGGTCATCTTGTGTCGCTTCCGGTGAGACCTCCAGCAGAGTTCCACACAGACCGCCCCAGCTCCGAGCCCTGGCTGAGGCCCCCGGATGTCTGCCCCGGAGCTGCCTTGGGAGGCGCTCCCTTCCCCCCAGCCCCCCGCTCTAGGATAACAGATGGGAACCTTGAACCCAGGGAGGGCGCCTGGCCTGTCCAGGGCAGGAGGCCTCCGTGTCTTGCTCTTCTCTTCCTGGTCTAGATACAGAGGACACTGGAGGGAGACGTCTGGCCTCAAGGCGTCCTGGGGCTAGGGGACAGGGGCCTGACACTTAGGGAGGCAGGAGGAAGGGGGTGGTCTAGGTGGGAGGGCCCATTGGCACAAAGTCATGCAGATGTCCCCGGGTGGACCCCGAGCGCGGTTTGCCGTGCTGTGGGCTCGCTGCTTCAAGGCCCCTTCCTCCGCTGGGGCAGGAAGCTGCACTGCACCCGCAACTTCATCCACATGAACCTGTTCGTGTCGTTCATGCTGCGGGCCATCTCCGTCTTCATCAAGGACTGGATCCTCTATGAGGAACACGACAACAACCACTGCTTTATCTCCTCGGTGAGTGAGCCGTGCCCTGTGGGCACGCACCCTTGCTGGGACGCCCCGCCTGCAGGGTGAGACATGGGTCCCCAGTGAACACAGAAACCCAGGAGTGATACAGTGATTCCCCTGTATGACGCCACTTCCTGTCCCTTTCCACGTGGGTGCACTTGGCAGAGCAGCCAAAGGTCAGGTGGAAAGACCGAGTCCCACTTGGCTCAGAGAGAGGGCTTGCCTGACCCCTGGTCACTTGACGCGCCCGTGACGGGGTCAGGGGCTGATGTGCTGGCCTTCTTTCCAGACCACCGCCCCAGGCCTCTGGCTTTTGGAAGAAAGCCGAGAAGATGGGTTTGATGAGGTGGGATGGAAAGAGCTGTCCAGGGCACAGGGCTTTGACCTGGGGGGGGACACTCGTAGAGGAGGTCTCTCTGAGATTTCTGGGGGGCGGGCAGGAGTATCCCCCGCCCCTGTCAGGTCTAAAGCCCTCATTTTACCAAGGGGGCTCCTGCAAGGCCCTCGCCACTCACGTAGCTGTGGGGGTGAGGAAGGGGTAGGAGGATGAGCCTCCGTGGGCAGCTCCAATGTGGAACCGGAGGCTGCTACAATTTTTAACTCTGAGTCCAGGGACCTCGAGTGGTCCGGGCCCGTGGGACGTGGGAGCCTGAGCGTGCCAGAGCTGAAGGCCCTTGGGATTCTCCATGGTCCTGCTGGGCGGGATTTCAGGGTTCGGTGGGGTGGGCAATCCTGGCAAACGCCCCACCCCCACCCCCTCTGGTTCTCTTGGCAGGTGGAATGCAAGGCCGTAATGGTTTTCTTTCACTACTGCGTCGTGTCCAACTACTTCTGGCTGTTCATCGAGGGCCTGTACCTCTTCACCCTGCTGGTGGAGACCTTCTTCCCCGAGAGGAGATACTTCTACTGGTACACCATTATTGGCTGGGGTAGGTCACTGGCTGAGGCCACACAGGAGGTATGTCCTTGGTGCTGTGTCAAGGCTGAGACTGACTTCCCTGCCCCTGCCGGGGGTGCACACCTGCTGCACGGACTCTCCCACGCCCTCCTGCCTGCAGAAAGCCCACCTTCTGAGAGGGTACGCCCGGGAGTCCTTCTGTGAGGCAACCCAGGCCACGGTCTAGGAACCCATAGGAGGCCTGGGGGGAAGGGACAGGGAAGGGCCCTAGCACTCCAGCTGTGAGAGGGAGACATGCCTGTGGACCAGAACCCCGCATCTGAGTGGGGGCGATAGCTACCGGGAGCCCCATGCCTGGGGGACACAGGGCCTGGGGGTGTTCCTGTTGTCATGGGCTCCGTTTCTTGCTCCTGCAGGGACCCCCACTGTGTGTGTGTCGGTGTGGGCAGTGCTGAGGCTGTACTTTGATGACACAGGGTGAGCACATGCCCGAGGATGGGGCGGGGCCCCAGGGATGTTCCTCCACCCAGGTTTCTCCATGGGCGCCCTGGCTCCACGTTCACTGCGGCAGACAGGCCATCCTACTCAGGGCCCAGACTGCACCCCGAGCCCTGGGCACCCACGGCACTGAGCCCCCACCCCCCATCCGCGGGTGGAGCCGCCCCGCCGCATCTCAGCCGGAAGGCCGTGAGAGCGAGCAGTTTCAGAGTCCCGCTGTTCTCCCGGGCCCAGCGCCGAGTGTCCGTGGTCCTTTTAGGGAGAGGAGGGAGAAGGTTCAGGGGAAGGTTGGCCCCCGGCCCCACCAAGAGTCCCAGGTCTGAAGGGGGAATGTGGCCCTTGCCCAGGAGCCCTTGGGTGACCCGACTCTTAGGCTTCCATCCCCACTTTGACAGGGGAGCAGAGGGGAGGGCCGCGGCACCTGAGAGCTCTCCTTCCCGCTGCCCCTGCTCGGGGATCCGCAGGAACAGGAGCACCACCCAGGGACCAGAGACATTGCCTGGCTGGCCTCCTGTCCCCTGAGCATCATCCCTCTTCTCTCCGTCTGTCTTTCAGCTGCTGGGATATGAATGACAGCACAGCTCTGTGGTGGGTGATCAAAGGCCCTGTGATCGGCTCCATCATGGTGAGTGTCCCTCGGACAAGGAGCAGGGGAGAGGTGGCGGTTTGGGCCAGAAGGCACGACAGTCGGGAGAGGAAATAAAGAGGTCATCGCCTAAACCACCCTCCTCCTTTTTCACGGCTGCATTATATTCTGCAACATGGGTGTCCATGTTATTTAGCTCTCCTGATAGTGTTGGCCATTTACATTATCCGATTTTTCCTCATCACGGAAGATATGACTAGGGACAGTTCTGTGTGTAATTTTGAGCACACGTGTATATCTATTTAGAATAAATCCTCCGAAGTGGGATTGCTGGGTCTGTTGCCCACTGCACTTGTATCATCAGGCATGTAAATTCTCGCACAGCCTCATGGGGGCTCTTGGTTGCTCAATGCTTCAGTGTGCATTTCTCTACGTTGCCAGCGCCCCAGGGCATTTATGGACAATTTGTTTTTATTCTTGTTATTACCTTTTTATTTATTTATTTTTTGCTTATTTTTCTAGCCCCGTTGTCTCACTGTTGGAAGGATAGTAACGCTTCGTTTGGTATGCATGTTGTGTGTTTCAAGGTGGCGCAGCTCCTACAGTCAAACTGCCAGGCTTCCTCTTCACAATGCCTAAGCCTTGTTTCCTGTTTCAGGAGGACTTTCCAGACCTCGGATAGAAAGAGATGCTTCTTAATTGTTTTGTCACATTTTTGTTGATTGGGTTGTTACATGATTTAATCCAACTGAAATTATACACTTCCTTACTCCAAAATGATACCTAATTTTATCTAATTTTATTATTTTCCCCAATGGGTAGATGTTCTACCCTCTCGATTCTTTTTATGGAATAGATCGTCTTTTCTCCATTATGTTGAAATGGCATTGTATCATAAACACTCGCTGTATTCTATTTAGTTCCAGATTTTCTATTCTATGTTACGACATGGCAGCCTGTTTTCATATCTGGTATGCTAATTTTCCCTTCTTTATTCTTTTATTCTTCAAAATCTTGTTGCACATTTTCTTTTTTTAGGTGGATTTCAAACCCTTTGGCAAGCTGCAAAACAAGAGTCTGGTGGAGATTTTTGTAGGACTTACACTGAATTGATAAACTAATTCGGAAGATGCAATCACTTGCCCCCCCCGCCCCCGCTCCCCACTCCCCTGCTATCCATGGTTTTGCTTTCTAAGTTTTCAGTTACCTATGGTCAACTGTGGTCTGGAAAAGAAATACCAAGTGAAAAATTCCAGAAATATGCAAGTCATAAGTTTTAATTTGGATGCTATTATGATGGGTGTGATGAAATTCCGTACTGTCTCACCCCGTCTTGCCCGGGCCTGAGCCATCCCTTTGTGTGAGGATCCTCACTGCATAGGATCAACACCTATTAGTCACTGAGCAGCCATCTCGGTTATCAAATTGATTATATTTTGAGAAAGAGAGAAAGAGGTCACATTCACATAACTTGCATTACAGTATATTGTTGCAATTGTTCTATTTTATTATTAGGTATTATTCATCTCTATCTGTGCCTGATTTATAAATTCAACTTTATCACGGGTATGCGTGTACAGAAAAAACACAGTGTTTTGAGGGTTTGGTGCTATCCCTGTTACAAGCGTCCTCTGGGGTTTTTGAAAAGTGTCCCTCATTGATAACGAGGGACGACCATAACTGATTTTCTTAAAGTAACTTGTCTCTCTCCCCGAGAACGTGGCATGAATCTCCATTTATTCAGCCTTTCTCATAGAGGCATTTTGTACAGTTTTTAAATTGTCTTGTTAAATTGATCTCTAAGATAAGAACAGCCAGCCTGTGCTTTTATTGTGTTTAGGAATCATTCTTTCATTATATTTTTTAGTAGGTTACTACTGATATTTAGGGAAGCTGTTAGCTATTATTTTTTTTCTCGTTTACCTTTTAAAACACTCTTTTTAGTTCTCATCCTCTTTCAGTTTCTTATGGATTTTTCTAGGTTGGAAACTACATAATCTTCAAGTGAAAATAGTTTTTACTCTTTCTAATATTTATAGCATTGTGTATTTCAGTGTGTGTTTCTTTAAAGTTGGAGATAGGTGTTGAATTTTATCAAATGAGTTTTGGAGACATTTATTGAAGTAACTTTTCCTTTAGTGATGGACGTTTTTAGTATTTTAGTTTTTCTTCATCATGAACGATGCTACAGTGGACATATTTGTGCGTATCTTTGATCATGTGCGGATGCGTCTTTAGAATATATCTCCAGGAAGGGAATTTCTGGGACAAAGGCTGTGTACATGTAACATTTTCATGGGTATCAAATCGCCTCGCACTAGCAAAGGACGAGAGTGCTCATTTCTCATGTCTTTGTTGGTGTGATGATCACTGAACTATTTGCTAATCTTTTGAGGGACAACGGTAGCTTATAGCTTTGATCAGTTACTGTAGCAAATATTAGTAGTTTTTTATTTTATTTTTTTTGCTTTCCTGGCATAAAACCTTTATGCCTGTGATCTGTTCACTTAGTACACCGCTAAATTCTCTGTGTTCGTATTTTGTTTATAGTTTTTGCACGGCTCTTCATAAGTTCTTGGGTTAAGTGTGTACCTGTGTGGGAGTGTGTGTGTTTTGTAGCTGGGTTTTGTTAGCCTCAGAGGTAATTTGGGAGCTTTTCTTTTTATTTGCTTTTAAACAGTAGAGCAGTTTGTGAATTGCACCTCCTTTCTCTAAGGAACTGGAACTGCTCTATAAAGTGACCTGGACCCGGGGCCTATTTCTGTATACAAATATGATTCCTTTTTAAATTTCTTGTGAGGTCATCGTTCCATTCCGATTTCCTACGTCTTCTAGATGTGCTTTTGTTAACTTATATTTTCCCATTTTGTTTGGGTTCTTCTTATGATTTGAAATAGTCTCTGCATCTGTCATTGTATCTTCCTTTGTTGGTTGTGTTTAATGACATCTTTTCCCTTTGGATGGACTCACACACGCAGTTAGCTGTCACCACGGAGCTGAATGCTGGGTACCGATCAGACGCAGGACCGGCCGTGGAGCAGGCGACTGACAGAACCCTGCTGTCACACAGCAGTGTGCTTTATAATTCCTATAGATCTGTGAAAACAAACAAACAACAAACAAACAAACAAAATAGGGCCTCAAATTGACATTTATTTTTGTTGATCAAGTCTACCTTTTTAAAAAATTTCTTTATAATGAATTTTTATCTTTCTTAATTTCCTTCTTGTATAAGTTAAGTCTGTGGTACTCTTTCCCTAGCTTTTCATTTGAGTGCTTAATTATTTTATCTTCGGCATTTATTATTTTTTAATAAGCACGTGTGAGGCTCTCCGTGTATTTTTTCGGGGTGCTGCTTCGGCTGCATCGGGAAGACGTCACTCCGTAGTCCTCTCATGGCGCCTTGTTTCTATGTATGTGTTCGCCTCCCTCCTCCTCTGTCACTGTGCACACTGCTTGACACTTTGTTTAGAGAGCTTTGGCCCCTGACTTTTATCTGAAAGTAAATGGTGCTCTTGCTATTCCCAGGCAAGCCTGTAATTAATAATGTGTGTGGTTGTCCGTTCCAGTTCCCCATACCCAGTGACTCTGAACTTGGAGTTCCTCCAGAGGGCGGCTCTCACCTCTGCACCAGCCTCTCCTCTATCTGTCTGGCGTTGGACTCCTTCCATCACCCCGACCCTATTTGTTCCATCTCTTCCTGAAATCGCTCACTTTTCATGCTCCCTCATGATAATCTTTCCCACATCTCCGTACTCCTATGGAATTCTTTTTCTTCTATCTCTTCTGTCCTTGCAACCCTATGGACACGTGTTCTCATGGCGCCATCTTGGATTAAGAGTCCAGATGGGATCTCAGCCAGGTGCAGGAGGGTCCTGTTGGGGGATTAGCGGCCTAGGCAGGGGCAGGGGTGTGGAAAACCTCTTGCCTAGACTCATTTCCATCTGCTTTTCTTTGGCTCCTCAGGTGAACTTTGGGCTCTTTGTTGGCATCATCTTCATCCTTGTGCAGAAACTTCAGTCTCCAGACATGGGAGGCAATGAATCCAGCATCTACTTGTAAGTACCATTGTGTGAATACCATAGTCTCTTCCGACAGCTGCGAGTGCCCTGCTCTCAGGCCACAGGCGGAGAGGCCTGGGCTCTGTGGACAGGGTAACCTAGCACAAACATTTGCAAGATTTCTTTCTGATGAAAGTGCCTTTAAAATCAAGTGGCCCACCTATACTCAGCCATCCCAGGAGTGCCTAGTCCACATGGCGATTACATGGAAGGAAACAGAGAGAGACACCCTAGGAAGATCAAGATGGAAATTGCCAGATTCCCCCCTAGGGTAGGTAGGGCTTGGTTGTTTAGAAGATGGGTTTCCTTTGGGGATCTCAGTGCTTTGGGAAGCTCATGGACGCCCCTGGTTGCCTGAGGTTCCCGCCCCAGCCCACATGTGTCCAGACACATGGACGTTCTTGCTGGCCTGGGTGTTGGAAGGGGGAATTCTTTTTCTTCTCCTCCCCTCAGGGCAAGTCTGCTTCTGGGCCTGGTCCTCTTCTTGTAACTCCCTCTTCCTTGAGCAAAGGAACATTTGACCTGTTTTGGACTGATGAGGTTCGCAGGCAACCTCTTACCTTTGAGTGCAGGGTTTTCTTCACTTCCACGGCCATCCGGTTTGTTTCCTGCAAGTGTCTCTGTAGTTACGTCCCCAACAGCTTATCCCTGCTTTCTCTGTCCCACCGCCCTTCCAGCCCCGACCCATTCTGAATCCGCCTGAGTGCATTTCATCTGACCCGTCTTGCCTGGTGATCAGAAGCATGGCCAAGCTAGGTGTGAGGGGTACAGGGACACTTGTGATGCTGGGGCAGAAGGCCAGTCCCCTGTGCTTGGCTGGGGGGGTCAGATGGGCACAGAGAATCTGGGAGCAGTCTATGGGGTCTGTCTGTGGCCAGGGTATAAGCCACGTGCGTTGCTTCCTTGGTTTCTAAAGAAGAGAGCGGGTTGCAAAGAGCTGAGGCCTTCCCTTTGTGTTAGCAGGGGGCTTTGTCCTTCCTTCATCAGAGACCCCAATGTGGGGTTCAGATCTTTGATACCTGCCTAGTGGATAAATAGGGCAGCAGAGGGACCCCAGCAGAAGGCTCCCCGACCCAACCATTCTCCGGGAGAGAGAGAGAGGCAGGAACGGCTCAGAGACCCATGCTAGATCCTTCCCTAAGACTCCTTGGGGCTTCCCAGGGTCTATGTGTTCAGCCCGGGCATGCCCCTTGTTGAAGTCCTTCCCCTGGGGCTGGGGGTCAGTTCAAGGCCTGGCTTGGTTCGGTTTGTTTATTCTGCATGGAGGATGATTCCATTCCATTGGGAAAGAGTCACCCAGACACCTACTTTTTCTGTTATCCATTTCCTATTTTTTCATTTTTTGCAAGTTTCTACCCACCCCTGCTTATATGTGTCTGTTACATAGTCAAAAGTTATTCATGCATACTAAGTCATTAAGTTGCTGAGGCTCTGCCCTGGGGGACCAGCGGAGCCTGTCTTCTGCCACTAACTAAGCACCCTAGGGAGGTGGCTCCTGCTTTCATCTCAGGGACCCGCATCCCAGGGCCCTGCTGCTTGCTGTCCTTACCACCCTGTCCACATAAGCAGTGGTGTCCTGCGTCTGGCCCCAGGTCCTCCTGCTCGAGGGTGGATTGCCCCCTGCCAGCGGTTATCTCGGATATGTGAAGCCATCATGTAGCTAAGTCAGCCTCCTCTCTCCTTTGGGCTCTAGCAGCCTCGGTCACCCTCTCCCATTCGGCGGAAGGATCTTTTCTTCTTCTGGGGTCCTGAGGCCTCTTCTCTGGGGCTTCTCCCAGCTTCCCCACACTCAGTCACAGCCTGAATAGGGGCACTCTGCTGCTGCCTGAACACACTTTACCAGCTCAGACAGCCTGCCCCAGGCAGCAAGAACCACCACGGTTGATAAGGAAAGAAGTCTGGAGCCAGGGTTTCTAGGTTACCACTGACTTGGAACTATAGAGTCCTATGGCACCTTCCAAACTCATAGACAAGAACCACTGTAATCCATACATAATTTGTACGATCATATTCCCGAGACCCCATGGGTGTGGGTCCAGCCCACTCCAGTGAAGAGAAGATTGCAATAAAGTGAGTCACATAGATTCTTTGGTTTCCCAGTGCATATAGAACCTATGTTTATACTCTGCTGTAACCTATCAAATGTGCAATAGCATTATGTCTAAAAACACAATATAGATATCTTAATTAAAAAAATACTTTATTGCTCTGTCAGCAAGTCCTAACTGTTTTGCTGGTGGAGGGTCTTGCTGCCATTTTGATGGTGGCTGACTGATTGGGGAGGTGGTTGCTGAAGGTTAGGGTGGCGGTGGCCGTTTCTCAGAATAGGACCATTTTCTTTATGAATGATTTCTCTGTAGCATATGATACTATTTGGTAGCATTTTACCCACAACAGAACTTCTTTCAAAATTGGAGTCAATCTTCTCAAACCCCACTGATGCTTTATCTACTAAGTTTATGTACTATTCTAAATCCTTTGTTGTCATTTCAACAACCTTCACAGCTTCTTCACCAGAAATAGAGTCACTTCAGGAAACCACTTTCTTTGCTCATCATGAGGAGCAACTTCTCATTCGTTCAAGGGTTATCATGAGGTTATAGAAATTCAGTACCTTCTTCAGGCTCCACTTCTAGTTCTGGTTCTCCTGCTATTTCTATCACATTTGCAGTTAACTTTCCCTACTGAAATCTTGAGTTCTTCAAAGTCACCTAGGAGGATGGAATCAACTTCTTCCAAACTCCTGTTAACATTGATACTTTGACTCCTTCCCATGAAACACCAATGTTCTTCATGGCACCTAGAATGGTGAATCTTTTCCAGAAAGTTTTCTATTTATTTTGCCCAGATCCATCAGAGAATGGATGCTGTATCAACAAACATGAAAATAACATTCATCTCATTGTAAATCTCTCTTGGAGGACCAGGTGCATTGTCAATGATCAGTAATATTTCAAAAAGAATCTTTTTTTCTGAGAAGTAGGTCTCAATAGTGGGCTTAAAATGCTCAGCCACCCATGTTGAAAACAGATGTGTTGTCATCCAGGCTTTGTTTTTCTATTTATAGAACATAGGTAGAGTAAATTTAGCACAATTCTTAGGAGTATCATTCTGAAAATTGTAGAATTTTCAGGGTGGTAAATGAGTATGGCTTCAGCTTAAAAGTCACCAGCTGCATTAGCTCCACACAAGTGAGTCAGCCTGTCCTTTGCAGCTTTGAAGCCAGGCATTGACTTCTTTCCATCTGTGAAAGTCCTAGATGACATCGATGAGCCTGTTTCTTCTACGGTGAAACACTGTTGTTGAGTGTAGCCACCTTCATGAATCATCTCAGCCAGATCTTCTGGGTAACTTGCTGCAGCTTCTACATCAACACTTCCGCTTCACCTGGCACTTTGATGTTATGGTGACGGCTTCTTTACTTAAACCTCATGAACCAGACACTGCTAGCTTCAAATTTTTCTTCTGCAGCTTCCTTGTCTCTTTCAGCCATCACAGAATTGAAGAGAACTAGGGCCTTGCTGTGTATTAGGTTTTGACTTAGGGGAATGTTGCGGCTGGTTTGATCTTCTCCCCAGACCAATAGAACTTTGCCTATATCAGCGATAAGGCTGTTTCACTTTCCTATCATTCATGCATTCACTGGAGTGGCACTTCTAATTTTCCTTCAAGAATTTTTCCTTTGCTAGCTTTCAGTCTTTCTCAGCTTTCAACATGTCTTCCTCACCAAACTTTCTCATTTCTAGCTTTTGATTTAAAGTGAGAGATGTGTGACTTTTCATTTCACTCGAACACTTAGAGGCCATGGTAGGGTTAGTAATCGGCCAAATTTTGATATTGTTGTGTCTCGGGGAGTAGGGAGGCCCGAGGGGAGGGAGGGAGAGAGATGGAGAATGGGCAGTTGCTGGAGCAGCCAGAACACAGCATTTGTTGGGTTCATTGTCTTTTTTGGGCATGGTTCCTGGTGCCCCAAAACAACTGCAATAGTAAGGTCAAAGATCACTGATTGCAGATGACCATAGCAATAATGAAAATCTTTGAAATATTGCAAGAATTACCAAAATGTGTCAGACATGAAGTGAACAAGTGCTCTTGGAAAAATGGTACCAATGGACTTGCTCGATGTAGGGTTGCTACAAACCTTCAACTTGTAAAAAAACAAAAAAACAAAAAAACACACCAAAAAACAAAACACTCAGTGAAGCGCAATGAAACAAGGTAGGCCTGTACATTTAAGCACAAACATTTAAAGAACAAGCTAGTTGGTTTGCTTCTGTCCTGTAAAAAAATCCTCTTGTAATCTCAGCAAATCTTTTTTATAGAGACAGTGAAACAGGTACTTATCTCAAGCCCCAAAGATTAAAAACTCTGCACACCGGGGGCAGAGGGACGCAGGACCAGGTCCGATTAAGTTCCGATTAAGTCCAGCAACGCGTTTGCGTGTTTCCAGGTTCAAGGCGATCCTGTTGGGAAAGTGACGGGCAGTCAAAGAGACAGTGAGGGACAATCAAAGGGACGATGACGCTAAGAACTCAGGAGCGTTGAAACACACCTGTGACTCAGTCCGTGCCCACTCAATGCTCACAAGCCCCCAGAGAACCCGGCGAGATGGGTGTGTGAGATGTGTGTATGTCCAATATAAGCCCTGCTGCACAGCCGAGGGAACTAGCCATCCGTGCAGTGAAGTGAACCCAGTAGGAAGGAGTGAAGGCATAGCTGCCCTCCAGGCAGGCTCTTGACTCCAAGCTTGACCACCCCGACATCCCTGAACTCAGGGAATTTCCAGGAGAGAAGATGGTGATAAGCAAGTATATAAGCAAGGTTTCCTAAAAGAAGAGGCCGCAGTGGGTTCCAGCCTTGTATGAAACTGCCCCTGTGGAGGGTGTTGAGCTGAAATGTGTCTGCTGTTGGGGAGGGGTGACTATGGGGGGATCGGAAAGGGCAGGACACGGTGGGAGAGGATTTTAGGGCTGTGCCCGGGTTCCCTTGGGCCACCAGAGTTATGTGTTGGGCTGAGAAGCCCTTCAGATCTACCAACAGCTTTTCGGTTTTTTCCTCTGTTTCCAGAACAAATTTAAGCCTGGGAGTCCCCAAGAAAGCCCGAGAGGACCCCCTGCCTGTGCCCTCAGACCAGCATTCACTCCCTTTCCTGTAGGTTGGTTCCAGCTGCTCAGGTGATAAGGGGTTGTCCTCCATAGACCAAGATGGCAGAAGGGCCTGTTGGGGGCTGGGCGGTGGCACTGAGCCCCCGACACTCTCTCCCCTGACGCTCCTGGTAGAAAGAGTATCTGGGGTCAGGGCTTGGGCAGGGAGTGTGGGCATGTGTTCAGACTCCACACGGTCTTGGGCAGGGGCTAGGGCTCAGCCCAGCGCTGGGGCCAGGGTTAGCTGCCTTCTCCTGGGGACCAAGGTTTACCTCTGCTAGAAGCCAGCTGGCTCAGAATGGGGAGGGGAGGCTCCGGGGCCTGGCCGTGTCTGGGCCGGCTTCATTCCCAGTGGTCTCCCCGCTGCACGGTGGGCATTGGAAGCTGATGTGGGGGAGGGAAGCCCCATCTGGATCCCCCGCAGGGACCCCGCAGAGGGGGTCTCCACAGAAGGAGGAGAGAACAGACACCATGGTGTCGTTGCTGGCTCAGGGGGTCTGTAAGGTACCCGCTGTCAGAAGGACCACATTCACCTCTGAAGACAGGCTTTTCCATGGCAAGGCAGACATACAGCCACACGGAGCCGGCTCCTCCTTGCAGGAGGGGGTTGGGGGAGGGGGGACACTCCCAGATCTGCTGCACTGGGCTTCTGGCTGGGGTACCACTGTGGTACGGAGCATCACCCTGGGGCCTAGGCTGGGTTCCGGGGGTTCACAGCATCTTAGCATCAGGAGGGACCCTACAGAGAATGTTCAGCTCAGATCACAAAATTCTGTGGGCCTGTCACGTCCGGTGCTAGACTGGTCACCAGGATCAGGGTGAGCAGACAGGGTGCTGCCCACAAGCGTCTCCCTGCAGAGGTCTCTGTCTGGCACTCTGTCAGGTGTTGCCTAGGGCTACAGCCAGGCAGCCTTGCTCACCAGACGCACTAAAGCCTTCGTGGAGTTTGGCCTGAGACCAAAGCAGGGGCCCAAGAAACCAGGTGATAGGTGGGAGTGCCGGGGCCTGGAAATGGCTTTGAGCTTCCTGCAGACAGACAGGAAGGCCTCGGCAGGGCCAGGCCCGGGAGCCAGGGCTCTCTGGCTTCCTGCTGCCGGGTCTCCCCTTTGCGTCCAGCTGACACTGCTCCCCAAGCAGCCCCCACCCAGCTCCCTTGTCTGCATTTCTTATCCTCCCTTGGATCCAAATCAGAACGGAGCTCTTAGCCAGCCTGGGTTTGTCTCTTCCTCTTGATTAAATCCCTTTCCCCTCTTTCACTGGTGGTGGCGACTCTCCAGAGAATCTGACGCCTCTTTCTTTCTCACGCCGCCCCTGGCTTTACCGCTCCTCCCTTGCCTTTCTTTTCAGTGGGTTGTTGTGGTTTTTTTGTTTGTTTTTGTTTTTGTTTTGGTACAGAGTCACTGAAGATCTGGGGGAAGGGCAGTGTTTGGGAAGAAGACCACTTAACTTTGCCCCTACGTTTCCCCCTTACCTTATCCCGAAGGCCGCCCAGGCGTTAGGTCCCCCCACTTCCCGCCCCCCAGCCCCCATTGGAGGCGCACATCTTTACCAGGGGCTGATGTCCCCCCTCACTTGCCCCTCAGTGGCCTTGAGCACACTTTGAAGAAATCAGAGGAATCTATTTTTTCTGTATCCAGGGGCCTGGAAGGGCAGAGACATTTTGGGAGCTCCAGGAGGAGCGATCTCAAAGGGGACTAGCCGAGGCTTTAGAATTCTGGGTGAGGGTTTAAGCCTAGCATGTAGGCGGTGACACCTGAGGTTCGGGCCCTCGGGCTCCTGGATCCTGGTTTCTGTGCTTCACGTAGGACAAGGTGGAGGGATCAGGCCACTGACCAGAGGAGAGAACGGCCAACCCTTCAACCTGGGCAAGGTCAAGGATAAACGTGAAGACCAGGGTGGCTTCCATTCCTGAATACCCAGTCAAGCTCTTTTAATTACATACTTATATGTGTATGTAATTGAAAGAAAACATACTTATATGTGGCCATCTGTCTCTTTGTATGTATACAAAACAGACCTTTGACACTCACTGAGGACAGAGGAAACTTCTCAAACACATAGCTTCCCCACATTGGTGGTTCTCGAGCTTTGACTTGCGTGTGGATCACCAGGGGGTCTTGTTAAGGTGCAGATTCTGAGCCAGCAGCTCTGAGGTGGCCCCCAAGAGTCTGCATTTCTAGGAAACTCTCAGGTGGTGCTGATGCTGCTGGTTTGGGGACCCCACCCTGGGGAGCAGAACGTCATGTCCCACACCCCTTATCTATAAAATGGGCCAGGATTGCCCACCTTGCAGTACAATGTGGACTGAAAGATGCTGTTTCTTAAATGACCTCCATAACCCTCGCTGAGGTGCAAAGAGTGGGCGGACCTCAGCTAACTCCATCTTTGACATGTGTGATTCAAGTGTTTGCCTTGGCAAAAAGGCACATGTCCCCGTAGGCCAAGGACCCTCAGACTTGCTCTTGAAGAGCTGGAATCACAAATAACAAATCTATGAATCTTCCACATGCTTCTGTCCTCATTTGTATCAGATAACCCTCGGAATGATCAGGTCACCGGCAGGTTCCAGGAGCTCAGCACCACATGGTGCCCATGGAGGGTTTGTGAAGCGGTCAAGCCTATTGCAGTTGACAAGATGATGCTTCTGTATTGGTCAGGGAAGGAAAAGAAGAGCCCGTGGTTTCTGTTGTCCCAGGCATACGCAGGACAGAAAAAGGCTAGAAGTGATGGAAATTCTGCCTGAGGCCTCTCAGAGCGGGTGCAAGCTCTGTGCCTCCCCCAGTAGAATGTCCAGCTAGCCCAGCACCCCGGGCCCACTTGTTTCTGTGGGCAGTGGGACAGGGCCCAAAAGATGTCCCCTCGGCCTTCAGCCCCTGCCCATTGAATTCTCTCAGGAAGTCTAGCCTCCCTGTGCTGTGCACCAGAACTCTCAGCAGCGACAGAAATGCCCCCGATCGGTGCTGTCCAGCGTGGGACCCACTAGCCACCTGTAGCTGCTGAGTCCTTGCAGTGCGGCCAGGGCCGGTGAGGAAGCAGGCTTTTTAACTTGATTTAATTTTAACTCAAATAGCTGCATATGGGCAGTGGCTGTCTTACTGGATCATTCAGGTCTAAAGTCGGTTCCATCCAGGGGACTTCTGTGCCCCCTGTGTATCCACATCGCGGTGGCTGGGGTCAGGCACTGAGCAGAAGGAAAACGAGAGGCATAAAGGGGAGACCAGTGCACGTGGAGTCGGGCTTTGTAATCAAGTCCACAGGCAGCCAATTCCAGGTTGGATCCGCCACGGCTGGGCCCCGTGAGGCCCATGGCGTGCACTCCCAGGCGCCCAGCTCTCTGGGTGACCGCCAGCAGGACCATGCTCTGAGCCTAGTGCTGAGTCTGGAGACAGCTTCTGGCTCCCAGAGACCCAGCCCAGTCCCCGCCCTCCGAACACAGGCGTCCCCACCGACACCCCGGCCCCCATCAGTGGCCCCAGGGTGAGTGCTCGTGTGTGCGTGCGTGCCTGTCTGCACACAGATGTGTACACATGTGGGCGTGCGTTTCTGCGTCCGGAGCTGACCCTGTCTTGGCCCTCGGCTTGCTCATGCTCCATGTCACTGCCCGGTCCTGTCTTCACACCCTCGGCTTCTCCACCCTCCCCGGGAACTGTGTGGCTCTCAGTCCCACCTCAGTGTCTTCACTGCCCGATGCCCCCGCTGACAGAAGTGCTGATCTTGTCACACCCAGCAGCTGCGTGCAGAAATGCTACTGCAAGCCAGAGCGGGCTCAGCAGCACTCTTGCAAGATGTCAGAACTGTCCGCCATTACTCTGTAAGTGTGCGTGGCTGCGGCCTCTGTCTTGGTGGGCGGGGGAGGGGACGCATGCCGCTGCCACCTCCTGGAGCCCGCGTCCCCGCTGCTGGCCTGGAGCAGAGCAGAGGGCAGCCTGTGCCTCCAGGCCCACACCCCTTTCTGGCTGTTGCATGTTGACGTCTCTGTGTCTTGTGAGTTCTCTGCAGTCCTATGGTGGGGGGTGGGAAGGGCAGTTGCTGGGATGGAGCTGCAGCCATTGAGGGGGCTGCCGGGGCTTGGCTGGTACCAAGAAGGGCCCAGAAGCCTCAGCCACTGCTACCTCGATGTGTGGTCTTTCCCAAATGTCCCACTTCTCTGGGCTCCAGTCTTTGGAACTGCCAGGTTCTTCTGCTAGTCTTAGAGTTTACGTTCATACGGCCCAGCCCCCCCCACAGGACAGGGACCCTTACTGCAGCAGACTTCTCACACTTCCCTTGCGCGGTTGCTGAGCTCCCGCCGTGGCCTTCGGAGGTGGGTACTTACGTTGTCCCCATTTGACAGATGTGAACACTGAAGCGTAGAGAGGTGAAGTGGCTCCCTGCAGGTCATATAACTGGCGGGTGAGGCTTGAGCCCAGGGAGCCCCGTCGCCTGGCCCCAGGCTGTCATGGGGAGCAGCCGCCCCATTCGGACATCCCTTTAAGAGGGGAGCCCTCTGTTATTGGGCAGATAGGACTGTTGGAAGCTTTCCTCGGTATTTTCTAGGACTTTCTGCCATGCATGCCTCCTCAGGGCAAGGACTACAGACGCCAAGGCCCTGTGGCCCTGTGAGATCATGCAAGGATTCTGTGACTGTCCTCAAAGAGGCGTCCTGAGGCTCACACCACGTCTCCATTTCCAGGCCTCTGGTCAGCTCTGAACTATGTAGGCCTCAGGACTCTGGGCCCTGGTCACTTTGTCACCTACCTCTACTTTCCCAGCTGCCAGAGGGGTCACTAGGATGCCCTAGGTCCCTAATAGAAGTCCCAGACCGTTCCAGGCTGCCTCAGGGCTGCCGGGGAAGGAAGGTGTTGTCCCAGGACTGTGTGCTGGGACGTCCCAGTACCTGTGGGCGCCCCTGCGGAGGGCTGGGAAGGGCCGGAGCCCATGCCTGGGAGGTCGCTGTTTCTCACACACCAATCCCGTCCCATCCACTGCCACCACAAAAGCTGGTGAGGTTTGGCCTTTTGGGGCCCAGGACACTTTCCAAACAGCAGGGACAAGCCCCTGGAAATGGGCCCAGGTGTGGGAGGAGAAGCGGGAGGGAGGAGGGTAGGGACCACAGGCCTGTCGCACGGCCACCTTCCCCGCCAAGCCCCGTCTGTTTCACTGCTCTTGTAAAGTAGCCCCTTTAAGTAGGGTCCCAGAGGGGCCCCTGGGTGAACACGTGCCTGCAGTTCCCAGCCCCTTGCCTCTTCTTTTCAAATGTTCATTCTTTAGCCAACACCCCCATTGTCTTCTGGTGTCAGGCTCTGGGTGGCTGGAGATGAGCAGGACCCGAGTGCCCAGGTCGCTTTCAGCTGTAAGGACGCGGAGGCTTTCGCTCTGGGCCCGGGCGGCCCTTTTAGCCCTCCCTGGAGAGGCGCTTCCTGAGTGGGAGCGCTCTGCCTGGCTCGCGCTGGCCCCGGAAGATGGAGGAGATAAGCGAGGTGCCAGGCCAGCCTCCAAGGAGCCGCGGTCTGAGGGGGAGCAGACAACAGAAAGGACAGGCCCCCCCAGCCCCCACTCAGATCCTGTCAGCACCAGCCCTGGGCTGGGTCTCGTAGGGCAGGCTGCCTGTGAGCAGCAGGAGAGTGGGTGGGCTTCCTCCTCCCAGGGAGGCGCCCTGGCCCACAGGAAGGTCTTCCCAGGTGACTCCTCCCTCTTCTTCTTGTCTCCTACCCTCCTTCTCTCTCTTCCCCTCCCCCCTCCCTTCTTCCTTCCTTCTGGGAGGCTGAGGGCCTCACTCTGGCTCCATGGATTTGCTTCTGAGATTGGGCTCCAACAGAAAAGCTGGGATGGGGATGAGGGAGGGGCACAGGGTATAACCACCCCAGATCAAGTGGCCAGCTGTCCACCCAGTGGACTGAGGGCTGCAGGAAGATGGGGAGGCTGAACCTCCCCCCACCCCTCCTGCGACTCTGGAGGTGTAGGGGGCAGACTGCACCGCCCAGGCAGGCCTCCTCTTGGAGGAGGTTCAGAGGCAGTCAATACACTGGGGTGGGTAGAGATGGGGCCCCATGCCTGGGGAGCCCCCTCTTCACAGAGCAGGACCCACAAGTGCATGTGCTACATACGCCTGATGTCTTCTGTGACTCCTGGGCCCCTCCCATCGGAACAGAGCCCCTCCCTCTGGGCCAAGGAGCCGGGGGCAGGCTGGGGACCCGCAGGAGAGCTGGCTTCGAGGGCAGGAGGCCCCTTCGGCCCTTTCTTTCCTGCGCACCCCAGCCCTGTGCAGATGGCTTTCTTTCTCTTTGTCTCCATTTCCTGGGTGGCAGGTTCCGCCTGCTGGGATGGGAATCGTTCATGCCCACAGCCACTAAGTCCCTCCTGGGACCCCGCCCGAGTCTCTTCCCCTGCGGTCCACTCACCGTGCCCCCACCCCACCTACCTGCTGTCAGCATCGCCCTGTCGCTCTCCAGGAGTGTCCCTGGCCGGCCTCGGACTCAGAAACGTGGCTGTATCTGTGTGGCTCCTCAGGGCGACCCGTCCCAGGCCCGCGGAGCGCCTTGGGAGCAGGAGAGTGTTGGCCTTGCTCAGGACCTATCACGTTGTCTCTCGAGCCTTCTGACTCCCCTGCTTGCAGTTTGCCACGACCTTACTTTTCCACGGCAGGCGGGGGGGTGTCTGTCAATCACACACTTAATGTGCATGCCTAGCGGGTCTACAGGATGTTGACATGGCCTAGAGGGGCAGGGGCCCTGTAGACGGGGGGATGTCCCCCAGGAACCTCCTGGGGAGCTCTGGAGCCTGACTGTATCAGCCACCATCTCCCCTGCACCTCCCTGTACATGGGGAGAACCCTGAGGATGGGGCTCCAGCTCTGGGGGAGAGGAAAGGGCTGGGACTGGGGTTCTTTGGCTTCCATGGCTCCGGCCCAAGCGCAGGTGGCCCCCGGAGCAGATATCTTGCTCTCTCCTGACAGACGGCTGGCCCGGTCCACGCTGCTGCTCATCCCGCTGTTTGGGATCCACTACACAGTGTTCGCCTTCTCCCCGGAGAATGTCAGCAAGAGGGAGAGACTGGTGTTTGAGCTGGGGCTGGGCTCCTTCCAGGTACGTGGTGGGGGCAGGACCCAGAGAGATCCAAGGCCATGGCCCTAATCTGCTGGTGGTTCTAGAAACTTCTTTAACCTAAGCTGGGCCTCCGTGTTTCCGAGAGTACTCAACCAGAGGGGAGCTGGAAGAGCCCTTTCTGCCACCTACATGCCAGGCTTCCATGAGCAGACACACTGCTGCCTTCCTGTCACTGTGTCGGGGTGTCCTGAGCCAGGCCTCTCTTGGGGATCTAGATGGTGGCCCCCATCCCTCACCAGCAGCTCTGGGTGAGGGCAGAATGCCCTCTAGGGGCCTCTGTGCCCGTGTCCTGGACCTGGATGTAGATTGTGTCCCCCATGAGTGCTGGAGGTCTGTTTTGCCCACACCAGGGCCCCCTGCCCAGGAGCTGGCCACAGAGTCCTGAGTGATCGCAACTGGTGGGCGGGCATGCGGACATATAAATAAATGACCCACAGAGGGAGAAAGGTGGACGCAGGACTCTGACTGAGTGTAGATGGGCTGTAAACAAGGGAGCGAAGGAGAGTTGGTGTAACAATCCATAGTGAGAAAACAAGCAAATGGGAGCATGAGTGGGCCGTGCAGGCAGGGCTGGACCCCCGGGGTGCCCCCAGGAGACAGCAGCTGTCCCCGGCCCAGCCATTTAAGCATGTGCTTGACCTTGATGATCAGGAAGTTCCTCTCTGTATCACTTGAGTCTCTTCCCTCCCCCAGTTTTAATTCTTAGCCTGGCCAGGCTGCGAGTCATAAAGGCAAAGCCCCAGCCTGGGACTCAGAGCCTGGGTTCCTGCTCAGCACAAGAAATCTGAGTGCAAAGAACATGCGTGAAGATCGTAGTAGGGTAGCTGAATGCCTACCCTGTGTCACGCACTTACTCACCTGGTGTGGGGTGTACTGTGTGCACAAGAGTGCCTGGCCTTGGGGAGGGTGGGGACAACATGGGTGTGGGTGGTCCTGGAGGGGTGTGCCCTCAGGAGGCCCGTGGGCAGGTTGGGGAGCCCAGAGAACATTCTAGGGCATTCAGGGAGGCCTCTTGTAGGAAGAGGGATAGTGCTGGCCTCTGGGAATGGGAAGGGTTTGGCCAAGAAAATGTGCGCTCCCAAGCCAGGCATGTCAGCGGGAGGGGACCCTCATGAGCCCCTTGGCTCCATGGCTGTGGCCATCTTGGTGGCACAGCACATGTCCCATCTCGCCCCAGGTTCCTGGGCAGCCAGTGCCCCCCGACCCAAGCGATTGTGTTTTTATGCTTCCTCACTCTTCACTTCTGCCACCTCCCCCACACGCTGTGTGCAAGGCGCCCTGCCCGCACGCTCAGGTGTTTTTGCTCTCTCTCCCCAGGGCTTTGTGGTGGCCGTTCTCTACTGCTTTCTGAACGGGGAGGTAAGCCCCTGGCCCTGTGGCTTCTATGCAGTGGAGCGGGGGTCCTGGGGAGCAGATAGGGGTGCGGCCTGCTGGCCACACGGGGTTTATAATCCAGGCCAGAGCTCTGCCAGACTCCCAGGCCCGGCAGGCAGGGGGTCACACAGTGCCAGGGTCTCCTGACAGCTTCCGCCCTGTGCCAGAACCGCTCTCACTGTGTCTGCTCTTCGCCAATGTCCAGCCTCTGGAGCAGAGCCTTCCTCACTGTGCCCTCCCCTGCCCTGACAAAGGCATCAGCTGTGGAGCACAGACCCACCTGGGAGGGCTCCCCCTGTGGAGGAGCCTTAGTAACGAAGACATAAAAGAGAGGCAGAGGAAGGCCTGGGAAACGGGGCCTGTGGCTCAGCAGGCTGTGACAGCAGAGCCGCTGAGCGGGGCACCGCCCAAAGTTCAGTGCTGCTCTTAGCAGGCAGCCTGCCTGCAAAACCTGTCCCCTATAGAGAGGGGACCAAGGTGGGGCTTGGGGGGGACCCGGGAAGAGAGGCCTGGAACCTCCTAGTAATGCTCCATTTCCACTGGTGTGCTCTCGATCTAACCTGTTAGGGAGCTGCATTTGAGCAGAGCTCAGAACCAAGGTGCTGAGGGGGCTGGGTGGGTGGGAGGGCTTTGGGCCACAGACAGGAAGGAGTTGTGGCACTGGAGCTGGGGTCGTGGCTTTGGGACCTTGGCACTGTCACGTCTAAGAAATAAGAAGGTTGGGCTCAGGGATCGCTAAAATACCTTACAGAAGGGTCCCATAAGGCTGGATAAGGAGAGGCAGGTGGAATCAGGCAGTGGGAATAGGGGGCTTGACCAGGGCCTGCTGGGCATGTGGGAGCTGGAACCAGAGAGGCGCGTGCTGCACCCATTTCCGGTTGTTCAGGCCGTGCACCGCACGCAGGTGCAGGACTGAGGGGTAAGCGGAGGCTGAGACGGGGTGTGCCCTGCACACAGCGGTTAAGAGCTGGGCGGGGGGGGGTGCGGTGTCCGCCAGAGGGGCGCATTATTTAGTGGCTCTCAATCTCGACTACGTGCTGGAATCCCTGGGAAGCCTTAAAACACATACGGGCCTGCCCCAGGGCTCCTGACGTGCCTCTGGCGGAGCTGGTCTGAGCCTCAGCCTTTTCAAAGCTCTCCAGGAGAGTCTCATGTGCAGTGCCCCCTGATGGTCAGCAAGGGCCGCGCTCCTTGTCTGCCCCCGGGGCCAGCTCTTAAAACCTTCCCTGGAGCCCCCTATGGGCCAGTCCCCGACTGTGGACACGAGAGACCAGGCTCCGAGGCCCATGGGCCCCGGGAAGCCATCCGCGGGCCTGGCTCAGACGGCGTTGTGGGCAAGGCGCTGCGGTCAGCTCCTCAGAGGTGTTTCCTTCCCAGTGGGGACCCGGGGCACCACTGGAGGTGGCAGTGCCACTCTGACGAGCCCAGGGCGGGAGACAGGTGGGTGGGGTCGGACAGCATGCCCCCGCCCCTGGAGGTGACCGCCCGTATTGCTCCCTGCAGGTGCAGGCGGAGATCAAGCGGAAGTGGCGGAGCTGGAAGGTGAACCGCTACTTCGCCGTGGACTTCAAGCACCGGCATCCGTCCCTGGCCAGCAGCGGGGTGAACGGGGGCACCCAGCTCTCTATCCTGAGCAAGAGCAGCTCCCAGATCCGCATGTCCGGCCTCCCGGCCGACAACCTGGCCACCTGAGCCCCCTCCGCCCTTCTCGCCTCCACACACAGGCTGGGGCTGCAGGTGGGCGCCGACCACGCATGTTGTGCCTCTTTTCTCCCTTCGGGCAGGCCCTGGGCTGGAAGCTGGGCTCCCCGAGGGGGGAGAAGGATGCAGACGCAGATGGGTACTCCCCCATTCCCGTTTGGGCGCTGGCCCCACCCACCACGGACGCCTGGGCCCTGACCCCAACCATGTAAATACTCCTTAAATCTGGAAAAGTTGTCCCATCCTGATTCCTTTGTCCAGTGCCCCTTCTCACCTCCAGCAGGTCCCGGCTCCACCTGCCCCGTCTCTACCAGCCTCAGAGTTCACCTGACCCTGTTGGGAGGCTGCAGACCTTGCTCTGGGGATATGGGTGGTGCCTGCCCGACAGCCTCTCGAAGTGTCTGACTCTCCATGTGGACTCCTTGAGTCTGTCTGCCACTCCGGGGCCTTTCCCGGGCCTGGCCCAGCTCCCGAGGCCAGCCAGAGGCAGTGTGGGTGGTCCTCCAGGGCAGGCCAGCCGCGAAGGCCTCTCCCGCTCAGCCAGCACCGAGGTGCCCGGGTGCCCGGCTCCTGGGCATCGGGGCAGTGGGGCAGCCTCAGGGCCCTTCCAGGCTGAGGCTGCAGTTTGGGTGTGGGGTTAAAGGTCAGGGAAAGTTCTGGTGCTTTTCATTCGGCCCAAGGACATTGCTGAGGGCTGGAAATGTGGATATGATCGGGAAGGACATGCAGTTTAGCAGGCGCTATGGAAGACCTTCACCATCTCCACTGTTGTCCCCTCAGCTCATGGCAGGGGACAGGGTTCATCTGGTAGCCACTCTTGCCCCTCCTGCCCCGCCTCCTAGGCATCCGCTGTAGGTGAGAGGTGGATCTCAGAGAAGCTGCTCCCCAGCCACACCGACCCCACAGAATCCCTGAGCCTCCCCACCTCCACTTCCCCTTAAGTCAAAGCCATGACTGGGATGAACAAGACACCTTCCAGCAATGTCAGTGAATCCTGAAGCACCTTACACCTCCATGGGCCAAGTCCAGGGCCCAGGGCTCCTCCCCACCCCATCCCTACCCCCACCCCCCATCCATGGACGATGAGGAGCCCCAGCCGCCAGCTCCTTGGGCTTGAACCCAGCTGCTGAAGCCTGCCTGGGACCTCTGCAAAGGCCGCGCTCTGTGCACTCTTGGAATCGCCACGGTTCCAGGAGGCGGAGAAAAGTGCTGGAGTGCCATGCCCCACGGGCAGGGCCCGCTTCGTGCCCTGTCAGCCTTTGGTGTTCCTGTTCAAGTGTGTCTGTGCGCTTGTTCCGTGATCATGTTGAGGGAGCAAATGTTGCCTTGCCTGGTTTTAGGAAGAGAGAGCGGGCAGGGGGGCTGGCGGGGCTGCCCGTTTCCAGAGAGGTCCCCGGGGCAGCTGCAAGAGGGCTTCGCCGCGTGGTCTGCAGAGCCGTGGACCCGGCGCCTGTGGCAAGGCCAGAGGAGGAAGCGGGCTGCCTGCTGTGGGGCTGCCTGCGACCGAGGCTGGCCAGGGCTGCTGCCCTTCCACTGGGCTCCAGACCTCGTGACACCAGTGCGTTTACTCGAGTGGGTGTCCACTGGTCGGTCACCTTGTGCTTTAGGCCCTGCTATGGGGCCTGGGCTGCTTGGCAGGGGCCACAGGCTGGATTCAGAGATGTAGGATCTGCCCGTCAGGCTCCGACCATTAGACTGCAGACAGAGCACTCCCTGTCTGGGCCTTGGTTTCCCCATTTGTGAGACGAGAGGACTTCGAATGCTTCTGCAGGCTCTGCGCTTCAGCAAGTCTCCAGTTCAAATCTAAGGCAGGGAAAAGGGTGTGCGTTATTAGGTGCAGCACCCAAGGTTTTGATGTGTATGTTTGTGTGTGTATATGGGGGGGTGCTGTTTATTCTTAGAAATGGAACATCTGTCTCTTTCATTTGGACAGCACAGCAGGAGCCGGTGGGCCGGTGGGAAAGGTCAGGCCAGGGACAAACTGGACAGGTGCCTCGCGCATGATGTGCAGACCCTCCTGGCCAGGGCAGGGTGCCGTGACTAGGTGGTCACTGCCAGGCCCCGGGAGCAGTCCCCGAGCATGGGCCTCATTTCCTCATCCTCGCCTCCATCAGCAGCTCGGCTGCCCTGTGGAAGAAGCGGCTTTGACTTTAAACAGAGACCATCACAAGCAGCAGAAACAAAAACCACTGAACTCCATGTGCTGCCGCCTGAGCCCCAGGCCTGGGTCCTCGCAGAGGTTCCGGGTTCCTGTTGGTTTGCCAGCTTGTTTTTCTCTGAGAACCAGCTCTTGCCAGTCTTGTGAGAAGGTGTACCGCTGTATTCCGAATGTCGCAGGAGGTTAGGCCTTCGGAGTCACCGGCAGCGGGAGGACAGCACGAAGTCTGGGGGAAACCCTTCCCACTCTGATCCTTTGCTCTCAAATCTGTAAAATGGGCAGTGAGACGGATGACTTGCGCAGCCCGGTGCCCCTCGGGGTTCTCCATCTAAACGCCAGTCATCTGCTGGGAACGGGCCCTGGGCAAGATGTGGCCTTTGCCTGGTCATGAAAGGATCAGAAATCACATGGAGTGAGCAGAGGCTGAGGGCCGGGGCGTGGGTAGCTGCGAGGAGTAGAGGCCCTGACCACACGTCTCTGGAAGGTCATGACCAGAAAGGGGGTTGCACTCCTTTCCTGCACCCCTCCAGGGCCGAGTGCACCCAGGGGAGGCTGAATTCTCTTTGGGGCAGGGAAGTCTTTCATCCTCTGCCATGAGCGCCCCAGCATGGCAGTGTCAAGAAAGTCCCCAGCCCTGGGGGAGATGGAACTCCAAGTCAGGGAGGCTGAGGCTGCCAGGGATCCCGGGAGGGGCCAGAGGGTGAGGCTTGGGCGGTTCCGTGGCTCTGGTGGTCCCCTGTACTGCGGGCTTCATGGCTGTCCCCGTGCCTGGGGCCAGGCCACACTCTCTGTGACCCTCCTTGACCCATCCGGGGGCCTGCAGCAATTCCTGCTCCAGCCCCTCCTCTCCCCACGCTGGCCTCTCTGGGGGCGAAGACCAGGGCTCTGGAGCCAGGCCCCAGGCTTGGCCTACACCTGCGTCCAGCATCGCCCACCAACAGCGTTGACCCTGCTTCTTCTAACTCTTTCCCTTCCCGGAAGGAAAGCCAGGAGAGGCTTTCTTTGTTATTCTGGGAGTACCCTTGAGCCCCTCAAGGCCACTCCAAAGTGAAAGCAATGAGTGCTTTGTCACCACAAATTCCTACTTGAGCCTCGTGACCGTGGAAACCCCCGGGGGGCCCCTGAGCAGGGACCGGAGGACCTGGGTTTCTCCCAGTTCTGTGACGGGCCTGCTGTTTGGCCTTGACTCGTTCCCCATGTGTCTTTGGGGAGACTCAAAGTACTAGAGCCTTGGAGATCTGCAGGTCAAACAGCCCCACTGGGCCAGTGAAGGGGGGACTGGTGGGCCCAGCCCGGTGCCTGCTCCCATGCCGGGACGCAGTTCGCTTGACAGACGTGAGTGAGGAAGTGGGCCCACTGGCATGTGCCCAGCCCTGCACACGCGCGAGAGCTTCTGTTCAGAACACGCTCAGCCTCGCACAGGAGAGGGGCTTTGGGTACAGAAGTTGTTAGCGCTCCAGAGAACAGGAGGGGCGACAGAGTCACCGTGATACGGGGAGACCTGCCTGCTGCCCTGGGCTTCAGCGCTCGCCCTGTGCGCCAGGGCGGAGCCTCTCTGTGCCTCTGCTCCCTGATCTGGCTCACGGGAGGACATGGCTTGCGTTCTGTCCCAGGGGACAGGGATGGGGTTGAAGTGAGATGACCTGTGTGTGAACAGGCTTTGGCAACCACACAGGTGTGGGCTGGTCACTGGGGAGGAGACCCCGGCAGGGTACCCTGTGCCGTTTGTCAGCTGCCTGGAGCCCTCCTGAGGTAGGCTTTGTCCCATGCACAAACACCACCAGCACTGGGGGTCAGGGGGAGGCCAGGCCTCTGAAGGACGCAGAATTCCAGGTCTGTCTCCGTCCACTGACTCAGCTCATTCTTGCGGTTAGGAGGAGGAGGAGGAGGCTTCTGTGTGGGTAATGCCAGCATCCCCCTGCCATCTCCATGGAAACCCTTTAAAGATTTGGGACATCCCTTGAGTGGGCCAAGGGCCCATTCCTCCTTTCCTTGAACTTGAGTCCTGGGATGTGTCTGTGCTTAGCCATGTGTGTCCAGTCTTGTGTCCGTCTTCCGTAGCCCTGCTTCTGTGAGAGCTGGAGTGGGACCAGCCCTGGCATTCCAGCCGCGGCCCCGGGGTCCCTCGTGGGAGCCGGGTCAGCTGGGGTTTCCTCTCCCACAGTCAAGGCCAGCCGCACAAACCCCCTCCCCCCGCTGCCGCCGTTAATGCTGTGTGCACAACCTTATCCGGGACTTTAAGGATGTCAAACTGCTGTAGATGACCCAATAAATGTCTTATCATTTTTCCTGGTGGCTGTCACTTGGCAGAAGTGGAGGGCAGGGAGGAGAGGAGGTGGAAGGGGCAGAAATCTGATGTCCGGGGCCCTGTGGCCCTTTAGATTCCAAAGGAGACGTCTGGGAATAGGCCTGAATGAGCTGAGAGTGAACTTGGAAAAGGAAAGTCCTGGCCTCTAAGGGATCTCTGAGGATCATGCAATGTGAGTGGGGTCAAGGTCACTTGAATATTTGTGGTTCCTAGAAATGGAAGCAGCTCACTCATAGTCTTTGTTGTCTCACGGGCTCTGTATCGTTTAATGAGAGCGGCCCCCAGACATCCCCAGAGTGTGCCTACAGCGAGCCTTTGTTGCAGGTTGCCACAGGCGCATCGCCGGCTGCCACGGCCCCATCCCCTAGCGCTTGGGTATCCAGAGCCGTCGGCCCCTGCCAGACTAGATAACCAGTTCCAGGTAACCGCCATTTTCTTGAGGCTCTATTGATTGTCACAATTCCCATGCCTGTCTTCCTGTCAGTCTAAACTTTCAGTCACTAGACACAGAAGAGAATTTGTCACTGATAAATCAGACAAGGAGTGTAGGGAAGAGATACGGGGCAGCTCAGAGAACTCTGGTGAGTCCAGAGAAGGCCGGAGAGGTGTCAGAAGCCACGTCCTGCCACGGAGCTGACGACGAGGCTGTTGACTACGGATGGCCCAGCGATGTTTCTTGTGTGCCCGGGACCCAGACTGACATTTCGGAAAGCAGGTAGCTTTGCGCCATTCTCACCAGCCAGTCAGACTCCCCACACAAGCCTCTTTCAAGTTACTCCCTTCTGAATCGAAGTCTCACGTGAGTCCGCTGGGGGCTGTGCGCTCTTGCAAGGGCCGCTGGGTGTTTGACTACGCTGGATTCTGCCTTGGGGAGGCGGGGCTCCCATGTCTGGAAATGCTCTCCACTTAGCAATTGTGTTGCACTGCACTGGAGTAATAGATGTCCAGCATGGTAGGCCTGAGCAAGTACAGAGCAAGCTCCCTCCGGTGACCGGGTGGGCTGCTCTGCAGCAGTTAAGCCCGTGGGAAGATGGCACAGCAGCCCTGCAACCAAACGCGCCCTCGTGTCTCGTGGGGGTGCTCCCCGCGGTGAGGCCGGCTGGTTCTGCTCCATGCACGGGCTCAGGGGAAAGTGAGAGAAGGCAAAAACAAAAAAACAAACAAACAAACAAAAAGAAAAAAAACCTCTTTCAAGTCCAGTTGTTTTCTTTTTCAAGAAGCCTCACATGTGCTCATTGGCCAACAGGTAATCAGGTGGCCACACGTCGCAGCCGCGCTGATAGCAGTGAAAGGGGAGAATGGATTCTGGCCGGCAAGCAGTGCTTGTGCCATAGCCTCAAACCCCCAGACCTTTAGGGGTTTAGCTGGTGGTCCCTGGGCTTGTCACACCTGTGAAGAACCAGAGGCTGCGTGACCCCTGGGCTGTGCCATGCCACCACATCGGGAACAAACCAGGGGCCGCAGACTCCAACTTGAACCATAGCATCACCCTGGAGAGTCCTCAGTCAGAGCCGAGGGGACCGCTTATCCCACCCCTGGG